GGGGGGGCTTACTAAAAAAAGGTGGGTCCTGTCTGTAAGGCCAGTGCGGGTGTCGAATAGGCTCACTCGGATAGCGAAGGAGACGACACCCAGGAGACGGGGGCGCCAGCCCCGCGGCTCCTGAGCATAGACATAGTAGCTACCATAGCAGCTACCATGGACTTGGATGTAGTAGTCTGGTCAAGGCTAGGATGTTAACAGTCTGGTCAGGGCTTGGATGTTAGAGAGTTAATCACGTGCGAGGCGGCGAGGTGCCGATCCCGATTTGAGAGGCGAAAAAAAACCCGTACGGGGACCGTCCCTCACTCACCACCCACTCCCCGGCTTCCTCCATCCATTCAACGCTTCACCCGCCATGGACAGCGCCGCGCCCAAGAGGATCACCAAGGAGTACTTAGCCGCCGTTGCCCGCCAGCCGTTGGCGCTGGCGGCGGCGGCGGTCGTGCCGATGGCCAAGGACCAGCACGGGTGCCGCTTCCTCCAGAAACGGTTGGACGAGCTGGCGGGGGCGCCCGCGGCCCAGCGCCAGCGGGACTTCGCCGTGATATACGAAGCGGTGTTCCCGCACATGTACGAGTTGATTATCGACCCCTTTGGCAACTACTTGGTCCAGAAGATGGTGGGGTATTGTTCTGCTGGCCAGTTGGCGCTGGTGTTGATGCACTTAAAGCCGAACTTGTTTCAGATCTCGATTAACCAACACGGCACCCGGGCGTTACAGAAATTAATTGATGCTTGCAGTTCAACGACGACGACCAGTGGTGGTGCTACCACCACTAATGTCGGCGCTACCATGTTGAGTAACCACGGCGCTACCATGTCGGCCCTCCCCATCCTCATTGAAGGTCTCAGTCCCTACATCATCGACTTGATTAAGGACCTCAACGGCAACCACGTCATCCAGAAAATCCTCAACAAGTTCGGCCCCACTGATTGCCAGTTTATTTACGAAGCGATCATCGCCGATTTGGCCACTGTCGCCACTCATAAACATGGTTGTTGCGTCCTTCAAAAATGCTTGAATCACGTGACCCAGCCCCAGCTTGCACAATTTGCCACCGCCATCCTCCTGCCACCGACGTTTACTCAATTGATAAACGATCAATTCGGCAACTACGTCGTCCAGTACTTGATTCTGATCAATCTGGGCGACATCAACACTCAGGTGTTTGCCAATTTCGTCCGCGCCGGCGTCGCCCAGTTGTGCAATTTGAAATTCTCGCTGAACGTCGTGGAGAAATTTCTTAAAAATTGCTACGCCAACGAAGTGACCAACCCGAGATTCTCGCTGCTTAAATTCGATTTGATTTACCACATTCTTATCTATGATCTCAACAAGTTGATTAACGATCCTTACGGTAATTACGTGGTGCAAACATTGATCGATATCGTGATTAACCCCCACGTCCAGTACTTGGGCCCCCACGGCGAGTTTATGGTCGACAAACTAGCGCTCTTACTCCCTCAAGGCTACGGTGTTGACGACGACACGTTACAGATTGCCATCATCAAAACGTGGTTTCAGAAGTGCAAGATCGTCCTGTCGTTTGGCAAGCGCATCCAGCTGAAAATCAACATCATCTTGAATAACCTGGCGCGGCCTCATCCGCATTTGCACCAGCAACCGCCGCGCCACTATGGCCAGCGGTCGTCGCTGGCGCCTCATCCGCTGATGAATCACCACGTTACCTGGGCGCCGCAACCAGCGCTGGCAGCGCCCGGCGCCGTCAATGGCGCGCCCGGCGCGGGGGCGCCGATGGCGCTGCTGGCGCCGTGGCTCACCCAGGGCAGCTACGCCGTCAACATGACCGCCAACGGCGAGTTCGTCGCCGACTACTCGTTGCCGCCGCTGCGGTCGCTCTCGGTGCTGCTGCTGATCGCCGGCGGGGCGCCGCTGGTGGTGCTGAGCGCCGACGGCCGCGGCGCCGTCGATGGCGGCGCTTCTGGTGCCCCCGACTTCCACGTCGGCGGCCACGCCCGCCAGGTGCTGATGGCGCTGCTGACCGATACCACCAACACGCTCGGCCACCGGCTGCAGCTGCTGATCTCGCTGCTTCCCGGCGCCGGCCTGGCGTCGTTAGCGCCGTTGGCGCCGTTCCCGCAGCTGGCGAGCGCGTACACGGTGCTGAACCCGTTGCTGCTGGCGGCGCTGCTGCTGGTGTGGCACCCGCAGGCGCCGGCGCACCACTCGTTGTTGGCGCCGACCCACTCCCACTATGGTGGCAGCGATTTGTTGGCGCCGCTGGGGGCGCTGCTGCTGCTGTTGGCGCCGTTCGCGATGGCGTCGATGGCGCCAATGGCGCTGATGGCGCCGCACCTGGGGCTCGCGCCGGCGCTCGCGCCCAACTTGGGTACTGGCTACCACCACCGCCACTCGCTGGCGTTCGACCAGCTGCCGTTGTTTCCTTAGAAATTGAAGGAAGCCTGTATTTCTATCCCGGCTCGTCGCCTCTCCCCATTTTGCACGCACAACCTGAAACACAACCCCCTTGAGAGGGTGTGTCAGGTTCTGCGCTTGTACTACCAACTGCCACACATCTTGTTAATACCCGTGACCATGATGATTACGAAAACTTATTCAAAAATACCCCCCCAACCATGTACGTGATGTTTACCAATAAAAGCATAGCATTTAACCATAGAACGTGTTTCATATCTGAAACAAGTCCTAGAGTTTTACCTAGAGTAGAGTAGTAGCTATTAATGTCGTATACGTATCGGATCTCGGACTTCCTTGGACACCGAGAATGAGTGAGGTGATGAATACAGATGGACCCACTGTTAAGCAATTTCGTTCAATTATTTTGAAGTCAGTTTCATGGTCGTTTCATTGGTTGTTTTAGAATATCATGGGTCCATGATACTCTTAGTTATGGCTGCCCGTCTGGTGTTGTTGCCGTCGTACCGCCCGTCGCAATCGAAAAATTGTTCGCAGCCCTGGCCCCTAAGCCCAGGCACAAAAAAAAATGAAGGTGACACGTGAGCATAGCACAAAATAAGCCGACTGCAATTACCATCCTAAACGACGTTTCAATATCGGTGTCTCCCGATGAAACCGGTATCAGCCCACCCCTGTTTCACAACTACCCCCGTATAGCTCCGTCAACCCCCAGTTCCGCCCCAGTCAGTGGAGACAAGGGGGCAAGCAAGGCTACGCCGGTCATTTATCGCCCAATCGGGTAAAGGCAAGGTGGGCTCGGCGCCCGACGCTAATTGTGAGTGGGCGAGTGTACTGAGCCCCAGCCCACGAATCCAAGTGTGAAACAAAGGCGGCAAGACCCCTTTATCGGGCGGACAGTTGAAACACGATGTCGATGTGCGGGGGCCGTAGCAATGACTTTAAATATCTTATAGTAGTTGAGTTACAACCAATGTTTCACCCTGTGATGGAGAACTTATCCCGGTGGAACGTGTTTGGGGTGTCATCGTCTTGGCTATACGACATCAGGGCTTTGCTATGCCCTCGATCCGGGTGCGATGGCCCCGGTCAATGGCTGCCTAACCGCATGTTTATTATTATCCCTCTACCCACTCTCACCTAAAATCACCACCACAAATTGCTACGATTCTCACATTGGCAATGATAATGATGGATTAGGCTCGATATCAGATCTTGTAGCAAGTTTCCCCCTGTAGCAACTTCAATCTCATACAGGTGATTTGGAAACGGGTGGCGATACAGGGGGTGGAGGCGAGGGGCGATTTGGTGACGCAATGCGCGAACCAAGAATGTATCTACGGCTTGCTGTCGGCGGATGGCGGGTGGAGATAATGGAGTCTATTAGGAGAGAGGCGGGGTGTAATGGGAAGAGGAGAGTCGGTGTAGAACCCGTAGCACCCGAAGGAAACCCCCTTCGGTTGCCAGTCTGGAAATTTGTGGCCAAGACGTACCATCACGCGAGGTGCGTTTTATTGTCTAGTTTCACTTCATGCTTCATAATACGTGGTGTTTGTAATATGGTCATGGACAATAATCTGCTGAGAGCGCGAAGGAAAGTGGCTCACGAAGGGATGCGCGCATGCTGTGAGCGCGCGCGGTGAATTCTAAAACGGGAAACACCTTTACTTTCGGGACTTAAGACCATGCATGTACTCTATATCAAACGGTAATAGTGGAGGCGCTGCTGACGCTCGGTGATATAACTTCCACTCACCCCCCCGGCAAGTACCATCGAATATTCTAAAACACGTTAGTGATGGTTTCAGGTTACGTTTCAGAAGTCGGTGTCGGGGGGTGGTTTCCGGCACGGGCTCAAGTGCGCATGTTCCTTATTGCCGTAAGAATTTTCTCTCTCATCGCGGATGGGGTGGTGATCGATTTGGTTGGGTGCAAAAAAAAAAAAAAAAAAAAAAAANGAGATTTTCCCGGTTAAGTGCGGGCGGCAAGCTCCTATGCACCGCGAAGCGCGCGCGCGCGCGACCCTCGCATTACGCGCCCTGGCCCCGGTTGCGAGCCCGAGACAACGATAATTTACCAAAACTCTATATTAGCTAATGAAGTATTACTTTCTCCGCTTGGCGCGGTCCCACGCCGACATCGCCTTGCGCTTTCTCAGCGTCCCCTCCAGCATCAGCCGGTCGTTATTGAAAATCGAAAAATCCTCACCGCCAAACGTGTGCATCTGATCACGGCGCTGGTGGTGTTTGCTCTTCTGGGTCTTCTTTTCCGGCAACCGAGTGAAATTGGCCTCTTCATAGTCCTGGATTTCCTGTTCGCGCCGCTTGTCGTGCGCGGTCTTGACGCCGCCCCGCCCGTGGTCGACGATCGTCAGCCCGATCAGCGCCTCGACCAGAGGTGCGTCCAGCTGTTCGCGCAAGTATTCTTCCATCGACTGGAGCTTCTTGGTCTTGGGCTCATTAGCATCGTCAATACCGCTGTCGGTGGTGGGCAACGCCGCCGCCGCCAACTTCGGCGGACGGTACTTGCCGTCAGACTTGTCGGATGTGGTCCCGGCCTTGCCGGCGCCGGAAGTGGCGGAAGTGTCGGGCTTGAAATTGAGCTCGTCCTCGGACTCGGAATCCAGCGCCGCGTCGCTACCATCACTTTCAACATCACTACCCTTACCGGTGGTGGCGTCGCCCTCAGCCGCGTCCTGAGCGCGCTGCTGGCGCTCGACCACTCGTTGATGTTCTCGGGTATAGGTTCTAAGCATCTTATCAAGCTGGTAAGCCAACTTCTTCTCCAACGGGCGCACCCCCTTTTCCATCGCCACTCGCTGGACGACGGTGCGCTCGACGGGCGCCGCGTCGTAGCTGGCGCCATCGAGCCGCTGTAAGTGCTCAAGCACCGCGAGCACGGCGTTGGACACGTAGCCTAGAACCACCTGGTTCTTTAACAGCAAAAGCGATACCCCTTCGGCTTCGGTTTTACCGGTTTTATCGAGGATATCCCGGACGAACTCGGGTGTGTCCTGGTCGATTTCGACGGCGGAAACCACCAGCTGCGCCTGCTCCATCGCCAGCGCCATCTGTTTTAGTATCTCGTCCATTCTTGTGGCTTCTGTAGGCTTGGTTATTTGAAGGGAACCTTCGTAGGGAACTTCGTAGGGTAACAGTAGATGGCGGCGATGCGATGGAGCGCGCGCGATGAGCCGCGATAAGATAAACAGCACTACCACAAAGAAGGCCAAGAGTAATGAAGTTATTTGAGACTAAGCAGACTCCTAGAACATTAAGAAAGCCCATATATCTCATCACAACTCAAATCCTTCGATAATCTAATAGGTTAGTGATGTCAACACCCGTTCTTCTTGTTTCTTTTAATGGGGTCGCGCACGCCCCCCCCTCAGGCGCTCATCGCGCACTATCATCTTTAGCCACCACCAGCTTAATATACCACATCCCTAATACTTTGCCATGCCCCAGAACGAGTATATCGAGCAACATATAAAGCAGCACGGGCGCCGGCTCGACCACGAAGAGCGGAAACGCAAGCGCGAGGCCAGAGAAGGCCACCGCATCGCTAAGGACGCCCAGACGTTGAAGGGATGGAGAGGGAAGCAATTCGCCAAAAAGAGATACCTGGAGAAGGTGGCGCTCAAAAAGAAGATCAAAGCGCACCAGGAGCTGAAGGTGAATGGTCCGGCCACTCCCGTGGACAATTCCGAGGCGTTGCCCACTTACCTTTTGGACCGTCAGACCAATAACTCCGCCAAGGCGTTGTCGTCGCTGATCAAGCAGAAACGGTTGGAAAAAGCCGACAAGTTCTCGGTGCCGTTGCCCAAAGTGCGGGGGATCTCGGAAGAAGAGATGTTCAAGGTGGTGAAGACGGGGAAACTGAAACTGAAGCTGTGGAAGCGGATGATCACCAAACACACGTTTGTCGGCGAGGGATTCACCAGACGACCGGTAAAGGTGGAAAGAATCATCAGACCGCTGGCATTAAGACAAAAGAAAGCCAACGTCACCCACCCGGAGCTTGGCGTCACCGTCTTCTTGCCGATTCTCTCGGTGAAGAAGAACCCTCAACTGCCGATGTACACTCAATTAGGGGTATTGACCAAGGGGACGATTATCGAAGTGAACGTGTCGGAATTGGGGTTGGTCACTGCCGGTGGTAAAGTGGTGTGGGGTAAATACGCCCAGATCACCAACGAACCCGATCGGGATGGGTGTGTCAACGCCGTGTTGCTCGTGTAAGCACAACAATGAATTTTAATGGAGTATTTAATCATTTAGAAGCTTTTTAAGATAACGAAGATATAAATTCATAACATGAGATGATTCTTTTTGAGAGCATTTGTAGTCTGTATATGTTAGCCGACAATTTCGAGAAGACTAAACAAACTATGAAATACTGGCTTAGTCCACTTATAATGAGCATGTCTCAAAGGGTAGGCCAAGGGGTAGCTCAAATGGGATTAGCTATAGGATATTGGCATGTCTTACGAATTACATCTTGTGAAAGTTCAGGTCTTACCTGATATGTATTTCGAGACAGTGACAATAAGTCATGATTAATCTCGAATTATGAATTAAATTTCATGATATCTTCATCGTCAGTTCATAATTATTCCAAATAATGAAAGTGGGCCACGTCGAGCAATTCTTTAAGTAAACAAGTTTGGTGATGGCACAGAATTACAAGGCTTGTTTCCCTAATATTCCATTAAAACGATAAAGGATGGTAAAGATAAAATACACAAAAACGAAAACGATGGTAAAATACACAAAATGAAGCGATTGTTTTCTACGCCGTCACTCACTCTTCGCGGTGTAGGCCTGTTTCCACAGCCAGTACTCGTCGAGTCTCGCCGCGGCGTACTTGGCGTACTCAAAGTCGATATTGGAAATCTCCAGCTGGATCATCGCCCAGATCCCCCAGTAGAAACCGGGGAGCCCGTAGAACGCCTGGATCTCGTCAATGAGACCGTCAATGTCTTTATCAGTGGCCACGCCTTGGAGGTAACCGGTTACAAATTGCCTCATCACCGGGTTCAGCTTGCTGGGCACAGGAATGGCGTCGCGGTTACAGTCAAACCCCTGCCATTCCGCCAAGTGGTTGGCGATGTCAAACGCTCTGGGGGCAGGCAACATGTACTCGTAGTCGATAAAACGAATCGGGTTATCCTCGGGTTTAGGGAGAGGCGGCACCGGCGCCAGCGCCTCGGCAATTGTGTAGTTGGCGGGGATAATCACGTTCCCCGAAAGGAGATCGCAGTGGCACAGCACTACCGGCAGCGCCAGCGACCCAAGCGTCTTTCTCACCCAGGCAAACTCGGCGGCAATGACCTCCTTGATGTTTTCCGCCAGCACTTCGACACCGGGGAGGTGGTCGGCGAACAGTTCCACGAGTTCTGTACGCACGGGGACGATGGCAATCCACTCCTCGATGAGCTCCCACACATTTGAGATAAACCGCTTTTTCGGTTTCCGTTTGCCTTCTTTCTTTCTCGGGTCTTTCCGCTTCAGAAACTGGCGCACTTTGGCCACGCCAACTTCAATCAAGTGGGTGTCAATCCGCCGGTGCCAAAGGCCTAACTGCTCAGCCACTAGAGGGTAGATGTGGGGGTTGGGCAACTCAATAGGTTTAAGCAGTCGTCCAGGGAAAAACCCGTAGATAACGCCATTTTTGAACCGACAGTGGACGGGGGGAGCCAACCCCAAGGCGTGTAAATGGAGCTGAGAAACAAACTCACGGTGGCGATCAATAATTAGATTGGTACCGTGGCCATACACCCGGCACAACAATTGTCTCCCCAGCGGCTTGTGGTGGCACTTAAGCAACATATTGGTGATACCGCCGGTAAGCCTCTCCACACTAACATCATCGCTTGAATCCCACAGCATCACTTTGGCAAGCAACTGTTTGAGCTCGGCAAAGTTGGTATCGAGGTTTTCTTGAAGGTTGAGCACGTATTTCGGGAAATAGAGGGCGTGGCTCAGCTCGCCTTTATTATTGTTGTTTTCAGCGTGGGGGGCGTCGTCTTCCAGCTCCGTCCCCGAGACCAACCCAGAAACGTTTTCAGCGTCGGAAAGCAGCGGATTGTTCAACAGATAGAGCAAGTTCTTCTTCAAATGGAGCTTATTCGGGAACACGTCCAGGACGTCGACGCGCAGGGCGGCGTTGTCGACGACCTTGCGGCCGTTGTACTCTTCGAGGGGCACGCAGTACACCTGGTTCCCTTCGATGTAGCAGTAGGCGCCGGTGCTGGCGCCGTCGTCGGCGGCGTCCATGGCGACTTAAGGATACGGTGGTGGCGGGGCAACCTCGGGGAAAAGATAAGCTAGCCGCACGCGACCGAGAGCGACCCAGTGGGCAGGCGAAGCTCCGCCGCCGAGCCGCTGGCAAAAGAGATTTCCTTATAAATTTATGTTTATTGATTTGAGCGGGATGAGTTGAAGTTATCAGGCAATTTTTGAAAATATTCCTCCTAAGGTGGCGGAGCTAATTGATAGGGGGAGTGGCTCGTCATCGCCCGCGGCGCGCGGCTGGCGCCCTCGGGTTCGCCGGGGCAACGTTACATTGCGGCCAGAGTCTACTACCTAGTAGTCAAATTGCTATTGTTTTGGTTGTTTCGGAGGCTGGTGCCGAGACTGCCTGTTTACCATGCTTGATCTAGATTCAGGGGCATCAGCCCGACATTGCCGTTAATACCTAATTTTAGAATGTCTCCACGAATACGATTAGCTATGGCGACGCCCACCACTGGTACAAACACTATCAATTGTACTATTTGACAAATACAAACATCAAGGTAGAATATAGAGCAGCATTTATGGTCTCAAGTAAATAAAACTACGTTCAGTACAGTGTCAGGGCTTATAGGGGCCACGGGGGCCGCCAGGGCTCTTTATGGGCTTGGCCCTCGTATCGGTCCTCATCTCAAGGCCCCATATATGGGACAGAGTATAGAAGGGGAAACATGATGGATTACTTCGATTTCTGGCGAATACAGATATCTTTTGAAAAGTAAAATCATGAATACAATTCTTCAAGGGTAGTGGTGTCTGATATTTGATAACGTAAAAGGCAATTAGCTAAACATTGAGGCAAGCAGAACCCATTTTTTAGCTTGTTCTGCTCGTTGAGAACTGCGAATACTTTCGCAAGCATTCCAACGCTGGTTTTCCTGCCATTTCTTTAGGGTATAGGGGGTGCTACGCCTAGCTCACCCTGGTGACGTCTCTATACGTGAATAATGTATGCTTTAGCCGTTATTATTATAATCAGCAAAGCTCGTGTTATCAAACGCGTTTCAATTCAATTCAACGTCAATTGCCTGTCAATTGCGTTCGAAGTCTTTCTCCACCAATTTTCATCAAACGGTGGGGTTAGCCGTATTCGCACATAAGCTCATTGTTATGGTTACCTGCACACTAATGACTCACTCGTCTAAGCATGGTCAATGGCTATTCAAAGGTAATTCTGTTTAATCAAAGGAGTTACTGGTGCCCGTGATGCCTCCGAATACTCCTAGCAATGTTTCAAATGAACAGACTAAAGGTTTGCCATTCCAACAGTTTCCCGACCTTCCCAATGAGATCCAGCGCTTCATATACTCTCTCGTCGACGTGCCGCTGGTGTGTCGAGCCTACGTGGCATTCGCTCCTTACTGGAGTGTTGGCCCAGCCGCCGATTACCTCAAAAAGCGCACGGTAAACGTGTCTCTTGTGGCCACTACCAGAAGCGATACGGCCATCAATTTTGATACTCTCGCTAAACTACCTCCGTGTGATGTTAGTGTTGAAGCAACGGTGAGAACGTGGCCTCACACGACTCGCCGGCTTGACCAGGTCACAGTGAGACTGCTACTGGTGGATATGAATGGGGAGTTTGGTACGCGGTTCCACGGCAACTTCCACGACTTGAAACACCCTCTCAAGTCGCTTAAGCTTTTCAGCGTCTCCCTCAGCACATCCCAGATCCCCGCCAGCGTACAACATCTCCAATTAAGCTTGTGCTCGCAGTCATTTATGAGAAACTTGGACACGTTGGAAAACCTTGAGAAATTGGTCCTCGACAGTCTCCTCGATAACCAAATCACACTACCCCACTCGCTCGTTGATATCTCACTCGCCGGTGAGTTTCACGTCGACTGCAACTTGCCTAAGCTTAGAGTGGCTAGAGACTGCGATAGGTACAACCTTCCCTGGAGTCAAATGGAAACGGTCACCGACTGCGATGGTATCCCTAAGGTGACCAGTTTGGACAATTTACGAAGCATCCATGTCCGCTCACTGGCCGTCCCCGTGTCGTTTCGAGGTATTTGGTGCCCCAAACTCACCGTGGTGAAAATCTTTGGTTACCGTGCTGATTTCCGTATTAATGATGATGACGCCTCATCGATGTTTGATGATTCGCAAATGGCACAATTGACCGAATTGATTGCTCCTGACTTCACCGTAACTAATTTCACTCCGTTTGAGCTGCTTCAAAACGTCCACGTGAAACTTGTTGAGCCCTTGACAGATAGACTTGTTTTACCATCAGCATTGGAGACGCTTGCAGTTTCAACAGAAGTCCCTGTGACAGGAGTTCCCTCTCAAATTAAAACCCTCTGTGTCGCTGCCAACCATAACGACGTTTCCATTGCTTCTGACAATTTGCGGAGTGTGACTTTATCTCAGGCCCATGACGTCATCCTCCTGTGTCCTCGACTTACGTGCTTGAAAGTAAGCGAGTTCTCCGGCAGTATCAAGTTGGATATACCTAAGCTTGAATCTGCCGACATTGATGGTGGCAAATGCGATGTGGTGTCCGTTTTGAGTCAAATCAGCGCCGCTTCTTTGAAGATAAGCTATTGCTCTTTTCAAAGCTTGATACTCAATAACCCTATGGACCGATTGGTGTTGAACGGTTGCAAACTCGATGAACTTACAGTGGAAGCGTGGGAAGTGGATATCCGTATGACAATCATCTCTCGGCGTACGAGTATCACCGCCGACACCGTCAATATCCACATCTACGATGAAGAAGTACCCGCAAAATTAAGCTTACGCTGTCGGAAGTTGTCTACGCCTATCTTGGATCCCCGGTGCTACCGTGACGTGGAATCGCTTACTCTCTGGCCCAAAGACCACGCGTCATCAAAGTTCATCCCCCATAACACGTTGACACCAAACGCATTGGTGGACTGCCAGGCATTGGAGAAGCTAGAGCTCAAAGAGATTTCCATCGCCAGCACCAAGGACGACCCTCTCGTCATCCCGGCTACCGTCAAATCGTTGATTATCAAGGACATTATGGCGGACGAGTTGTGGCTTGAATTCAGAGACGAATCCCGACTCGAACACTTCGAATTGACCTTGTCTGAGTATGCAGCTAACGACTCGCCTTGTTTTACCATGGAAACCCTTGGCCTACACCAAAAACCCCCGTCCTTCTACTGTCCTCTCCTCGAGAACTATCACTAGCAGAATTTATTCTAAAGCTTGTTTAGGCTTATTCTGACTTCGTCGCCACGTCCCAAAGAAGACGACGGTACCATCAGCGATCGTGTCAGTTAAGCTGCTCATGAGGAGCATGGCTACGTTTGCATTAAAACAATCGATATATTCCCGTGGCTTGTGTATCTGGTCTGGCGGTGCCTCCCACGCACAGCAGAAACCGCTATCTGCGTTATCAGGGCAAGCTCTTGCGGAGAAGTGTACTTACAAGGTCATTAGATAAGGTCCATATATTGTGTATCAACAAAATGTGAATAATTTGAGAATTGAAAAAAGTACAAAAATTGTGATGTTATTAGTCTTTCGTAGCGAGTGAGATATGTGTCCTCTCCAGGCGGGTTCTACCCCGAGTGGCGTCATCGGCTCCACCCCAATCACAAGATCAAGTCAACGCAAATATCAGCTTTCGTGGCAGCAGCAGGATACTTCGTAGTACGTGTGTTTTGGTTCCACAAGCGCTTCAGGATTCATAGTCGGAGAGTCATAATTCTTCACCATGAATTCTAGGGGAAGGATACCACCAGTATTTATACCTCAGAAGGGGCTCTCTATGGACAGCCTGTTGTCCCGTTGACGAGGCATGCCTGACCCCGTTCCCCTCACCCGCCCCGCCATTGTTTCCATCGTCTAATTTGCTAAGCCTAGATAATAATCTCATCGTATACCGTTTAGTGGCAGATTTAAATTACATGGTGTAGTTGACCAGGCGTATATTAGACTGAAGCTAAAACAGGCCCAACACTATCTGTCGATTACTGGTAGCCACCACTGAGTAAAAATTAACTTGTTGCCGCAGCGTCACTCGGGAATGTGGTTGACGAGACGACGCATGGCGACAATGGCGATGAAGAGGGGAATGGAACCGACGCTCCCCAGGCGTTAATGAAATCATTGCCGTAGGACTATCTATCTTTCTTGTCTATTAAAACTAAGATCATTTGAAATACGTACTGGAAGATGTATTGCCATTATCAAGTACAGCCTATGAATGGTGAATAAATCATTTCGGAAACAGACTGACACGGCCATCATCCTTATCCGAACCTGAGCCTGACGATGTAAGTCAAATCTGGTATGACTCCGAGGTTACCTGGTATAGATCATGCAGCGGGTCAAACCTAGTCGTTTCCCTGAAGAATCTCCGAGTACCGTACCACTACTCGACCCTCGACCACAAACTGGTTAAGCACATCTTCAGCAAACCTAAAGTCACCACTCTGTACCCGTTGATGAACATGGTCATAAGTCACCTTGAGACTCTGCTTGATTCGCCGCACCACCCGGCGTCGTTTAATCATATAACTGCGCTGAGCGTTCTCCAATGCCTCCTGGGTACTGGGGATCGTCAGCCGCCACTCCTGCAGCGGCACCTTATTGTGGATCTGAGACTGAAGCTGGGAGTAGCTCTGTTCGTCGTCGTCTCCATCGTCACCGTCGCGATTCTCTACCATCGAATAAAATAGCCGCCGGTTATCGTAATCCTGGCGACTGATGCCTTGGTCTCGAACTACTACTGCCCCGTTGACGGAGGCGAACAGCTTGCGACCACCACCAGCTCCCAAATCGCCATTGGGGACAAAATCACTTACTGTCCACGCTTTGTCAGTCACGGGATTCGTGGTGAGATCAAGCTTTGTTCCCGGGACGTCGAGCTGAGCCACAAGGTACTGGCGGCGAAACTTCTGAGCCAACAACGGAGTAGGGTGCGGCTTACTAGGCACCACCACCAACTTCACAAGCGGCTCTTCATCTTGAGAATCGTCCACTTCATCGTCATCGTTACCACCAAGCTCAACACTAGCCTGTTTCGCCATCGTTGGCATTTGTAGAGTTGAACTAGAGTTAGTGAGCAGCGGCCTCAGTTTCAGCGGCAGCAGCTTCAGCGGACTCAGACGTTGTTTATCGGGACTGCTGGATATCTGGGTGGGGATATCGCGTTGACACTTCAGCGGCAGCAGCTTCAAAGGAGACGAGTCTGGCAGCGAGTACTGGGTGTCGACCTCAGTGCGAGGGATATTGACCAGCTTCGATCGGATGGGCAGCACCTGCTTGCGACTGAATACCCCCTGGCCCTGGCTTTGGTGACGGAGATTAGGGATATTATCCCATACACGAGCGCGTTTAGCCGGCACTTCTTCGACTTCACTAACCCCAGTCTGAGACGACCGTAACTTGGCCAATTCGTCTTCAAACCGGTCAATCTCTTGCTTTTGCGCCATCACCTGATCTTGCAAACTACTGATGATGCTTGCCTGTACCTCCACCGTCTGTTCGAGGCTGGCAATTGTCGTCAGTGCTTGCTTCGCCCGCTGGCGGTATTTCGTTGCTTGGGCCTGCAATTTCTCGATATAGTCGCCCACGTCTCGGTAGCATTGAGGCAAGCGGGACCCTGAGCCTCTGGCGGCGTCGCTCTCGTCATCGCCCATCCATCCACAGTGATGAGTAGTATGACACGCGTGAGTAAGGCGCGGGAAACTAAAGCGATAAATTGTAGATAGCAGGGTAATCAAAACAAGCCACGAAACCGAAATGAGCCATCTGAAACAACATGTCGTGATTGAATTAATTAGAAGTAATCAAGGCTATAACGATAAGTGTATTCATTATTAAATTCAATGACAAGAGGACGCGTTCACTTGTCTTCACCAAAGCGGGTGGACAAACCAACATTTCCGTTGAGGAGTAACAGACAATTTGCCTCTTCGTCGATGTCTATTTCCCCCTGATTCAATAATTACTCTCCTAGTGGTTTCCGACACTTCCGACGCCGGAAGCATCCCCGACACGCGCGCATCTCCATCGCACTCAGCATCAACGACTCCACCGTCCACACCCTCTCTATCCTCGATGTTTTCCCGGTCGGCGGGGTCCACCCCCAGTGCTCCCACGTCCAATCTCTTTGGCGGGGCCACGACCAACAATACCTCGGGTGGTGGTCTTTTTGGCAACAACAATAACCAATCACTGGGCGGCGGGCTTTTTGGCAACAACCAAAACACGGCATCAAACACTTCCAGCGGCGGCCTCTTTGGGAATAAACCAGCCACTACCGGTACTGGCACGTCAGGAGGATTATTTGGAGCCCAAAACAACACCACCAACACCTCGGGAGGCCTCTTTGGCAACAACAACAACGCTGCCAACACCAACAATACCAACACTCTGGGGGGTCTTTTTGGCAACAAACCCGCTACCGGTGGTCTTTTCGGCAACAACAACACCCTGAATAATACCACCACTAATTCTGGCGGCGGGTTATTTGGCAACAACGCCCTGAACACCAACACCAATACTTCGGGTGGTCTCTTCGGAAACAACAATAACCAGACCAGCAATACCTCTGGTGGTCTTTTTGGCAACAACAATGCTACGAGCAACACTCTGGGAGGGTTATTTGGCAGTTCTGGCGCCAATAACACCTCATCTCTGGGGGGTCTTTTCGGCAACAAGCCGGCGACGCTGACTGGCGGTGGCCTCTTTGGCAATAACAACGCTCTGAACACCACTACCAATTCTCTGGGAGGCCTCTTTGGCAACAAACCAGCGAGTTCAGGCGGTCTTTTCGGCAACAACAATGCTACCACTAACACGCTGGGAGGGTTGTTTGGCAACAATAACGCTCAAAGCAATACTCTGGGTGGTCTTTTTGGCAACCAGAACCAATCGAACCAGGCTTCCGGTGGCTTGTTCGGCAACAACGCCCAGGCCAACAACCAGGCCAATACCCAGGCGGTGCCGCTGTTGACAGCGATGACCCGGGTGGGCGACTTGCCCCCTCAGCTCAAGCAGGCGTTGGAGGAGTTGAACCAGTACATCGACACCCAGCACACCATTGCCCAGGCGCTTGAGAGCGACTCCGCCAAGCACAACCAGCTTGTGGAGCTGATCCCCGAGGACATCCGCTACTTGCAAAATAAGTTCCTGGCGACGAAGCAGGCGCTCAACTTCGATACCAACCAGCTTCTAACGTTGAAACAACAGAACAACGAACTCACCGAGGACGTGAGCAACATCATGCAGTTGATCGTCCAACTACAGACGCCGGGGCTGCGGTTGGCGCTGCTGTTCCAATTGAACGAGTTCTTCGTGAGAAAGATCAACAAGTACCGCGACATTCTCGCCGACTACGAGAAGATGGTGCTGGAGATCTCCACCGTGTTGTGCGGGTTGGAGAAGCTGTGCACCGAGGGCTTCGGCAACGTGCTCAGTGTGGTGCTGGTGATCCGCAACCAGTTCCAAATGTTCATGGAACTCTGCGAAGTGATGGCCCAGCTCCACGCCGAAGTGTTGAGAATCGCTAAATAGTTTGTATAGTGAGACCACGTAATATATCATGAGAGAAGAAATCAGTTTTCCTAGTGTTATTGGATACAAAAGCTCTTGCTATTTCATTAGCTTACTATTATTTATGTTGCTTGAGTTCGTAACTTGTTGGTTTTAAGCCTGATAATGGGATGCAGGCAATTTTCGGATGGCGTTTAGCATCCTTTCTTCGTGAACAAGACTGACCGTTTTGGACTGCTATATTAAGAATAATTAGCCTTGATTGAACGCCTATATCATCAACAGTGGTACAATATTGGATTGATACTTAGAGGTAATTTATGGTAAATGTTTGTATGGTTGAATATTGGTTCAAAGATTAGGATGGTATTCGAATTTAACAAACTGAATTCCCTTGCAAGTTGGTAGCGCAGTCCCCTCCCTATGCGGCCTGACGGGATCGGCCCTTTCTCTCCTAGACCTTCCTCCATCTCACAGTACCTACCATATGAACCTTTAGTTGGTTCGGTAGCTATCAGTTTCATCGAAGTCGACAGTAGACCGATTTGCCGTTGTTTTAGTCATCATTTTGCTTCTATAACTTTGCATCGAAATCTACATGTAAAACTTATCAAAAAAGAACTCATTGAAAGCTGACTCTCGTAGTAGAACACCACATATTTCATTGTCAGTAAAATGAGGCAAGCGTAGTTTGCGAACCCCTTATAGTTGAACTAACACGTTCAACCAAAAGAAGGGCTCATCCAATATCTATCTCCAACCGATAATTACCCGATTAGAAGCTCCCAAAATAATTTTCTAGTTTACAAAAACATGTTGCATTTCAAATGATAACATCATTTCTCTAGAATAGCCACAAACCCGATTGTAAGGCGTTCAATTCATATTGTTCCACAAAGCCGTTCTCATTTTTTTCCAGATACGGTTCTGTAGTCTAGTTGGTTATGACGCATGCTTCACACGCATGAGGTCCCCGGATCGAGCCCGGGCAGAATCATCTTTTTGCAACAAAAGCTGATAAATATCCACAGATTTACCATCAGCTTCCTTATTTTTAACTGATATCTCTTACAAGTTTTGATAGACGGTGTGCATTGCTACGTTATTTGGCAACGTTACTTAAGAAACGCGATTTGGCAATATCATTGGTTGGCAGACTGGTCCGTCAGCGGCTGGCCCTGGGCGGGCATGGGGTGTTGTCCTCCCGACATCTGGCGAACTTGGGGAGGCATGTTCGGTGGCATCCCCATATACTGAGGAGGGGGGAACGGCATCCCTCTTTGCGGCATCGCCATCCCCGGAGGAAGCGGCATGCCGTTAGGCATCATCCCCGGGTGACCAATACCGGGAGGAGCGTGGCCTTGAGGGACTTGGTTGGGGCCGCCAGGGTGTTGTGGCGGCGGGAACGGCATCCCCTGAGGGCCTCCAGGACCCATGGGACCACGTGAGAACTGTTGCTTCATCCAGGGAGGGATTACCATCCCGTTAGGGCCGTGGCCAGGCGCGTGGCCAGGGTAAGGCACCGGCCGTCCTTGGGCGGAACCAGGAGGACCCTGGTGTCCTTGAGGCCCGTGAGGCAAACCAGGAGGTCCCTGAGGTTGTTGAGGTCCCTGTGACTGTTGCTGGCCCTGTTGGAATTGTTGAGTTGACGGCAGCTGGCCAGGGTAGATGGGGCCAGGGTTGGTTTGTAATTGCGGTGGCTTGTGGGTGTTGTTGTTGTCAACAGAGGGTTTAGCCTGTTGAGGCGTCAGGGCGGCCAGATTCGGCTCAGAACCATCGCGGTCCTTCTTGTTAAGTAACGACATAAAGAACGAGTCGTTTTGTTGCAGTTGTTGGTGGGGGACAGGAGGACCAGGAGCCATCATGAGTTGGGGAGGAATACCCATGAGACCTGGAGGAGGCATGCCAGGAGGACCTTGAGGGCCCGGGTGACCCTGGTGACCTTGAGGGTGACGTCCTTGAGCCTGTTGTTGGGAGCCTTGCTGAGCCTGGGGAGGTTGTTGAGATTGAGGAGGACCTTGAGGCACTTGTTGCTGCTGTTGCTGTTGTTGTTGATGTTGTTGTTGTTGATGTTGAGGGTGGGATTGGGGGATGTCACCGGACAGCAGTTGTTTGGCCATTGGGTGAGGCAAACCAGGAGGGGGGACGATAGTCAGACTGGACAGCAGAGAACGAGCAAATTGAGGAGCTGGCGACGGTTGTTGTGGCGCCGAGCCAAAGAAGCGCAGGTGGCCACCAACAGCAGCAGCGGCGGCAGTAGCTTGAGTTTCAGGCGATGCCGGCTTGGGCAGGTTTGCCAGTTGGTTATTAGCAGCTCCAGTGAAGAATGATGAGAACCGCAGACTGCGGCCTTCACTGGCAGGGGTAGTAGTGGCTTTAGCAGTGGGTTTCAGTTCCGTAGGCTTAACGAACGAGAAGAACGTGTCCACTTCATTAGCCTTGTGTTCGGCTTCCTCGGCGAATTGCGACGATTCGGCCACCGAGTCCACTTCGATGCCGGCTTTGCGCAACTCTTCCTGGCGCATCAACTGTTTCCACTTCTCGAAGTCTTCAACTGTCAGCCCCATATTGAACGCTGTCAGCAGCAGTTCCTCAAGGGACACGTCCCATTCGGGTTCCTGTTCGTTGGGGTTCTCGCCCAATAACTTAGAGATCTTATCCGCCAGCAACGAGTCGAGATTCAGTCTCGGGTGGCGGCGGTCGTGGCGCTCGCCCCGCTCCCACGGCTGGGTCAGCTGGTGTTGGGACTGAGCCAGGGCCTGAGTAGGCGGGTCTTGTCGCTTTTTCCGTTTGAATTCGGGTGCCTTTTTGCGCCAGAACAGCTTATCGGGTAACTGCGCCAGCATATCGGGAATTTCAGCGGAGTGGCGTAATTCCATCAATTCGTCGACAGTGTACTGGTACCGGCGAATCAGTGACGACACTGAGAGCTCGGGGGACTCTGATGACAGCGCTACCGACTGGAACACGTGTTGGAGCCCGGGGGGTATCAGCACTTGCGCCGGGGGCTCGCCGGCGCTGGCGGCGGCGGACGGCCCCGCGTCGAGTGTTCGTGAGGCACCCGCCACGGTGATGATCAGAGGATCGTTAAAGAGATCCATTGGTGGGGCGTAGGGCTAGCGTTTGGTGGAGAAATCGACGACAGCCGGCGGTGAGTATAAGTGTGCGAGGGATGGACGCTCGCGGTGGGTCACCAGCAAAAAAATTGTCGCGCGGCCACCAGGGATCAGGGAAGTAGCGGTAACGAGAGTACTACAATTTTTGAATAGAAACGAGAGGTGAGTTTTAGATTTGAGAAGTAATGGTAGCTTGAAGCTGATTAGTTTGTGGCAATTAGTTGTGAGGCACTCCAAGTGGTGTGATGCGATAACTACCATGGTATCAGTATGACTCAACTATTGTAATTGAAGGAAGGCCGAGGCTAGCGATTTTATCAGTATGGCTGAAGTGTCTGCTGGTAGATACAGTCGAGTTTGATTAGTTTGGTTTATCCTCAGGCTATACTCACGGTGGTTACTAGTACTAAATTCTGTGTTCGATGCTAGACCCAAACACTCGTTAACATATGAATTTACATGGAACTGTAATTGTTACTTTCAGTTTATGTTTATTTATCAATTGAATATGATATACTTTGAACGTACTGAGTTTAACGTCAATCGCTTACGGAATAGCTGGTACCAGTCGTTTGTGGGGTTTCTCAAGGCTCAAAATTGATATGCTTTAACAATAGCGAGTGCCCTTTCGATATCTCAACTACCTATGGTAAGCCAGAACAACAGTAATCGTACAGAATCATGATATTTCAATAAATCTTATGCTCATCCACAAGTTGACGATTATCGGTCGAAGTAATCATTGTATCATAGTCTATAAGTATTCCGACTTCGGAGACATCTAGCGTTAGTGAGGTTTCTTGTAATTAGAATTCTATAGCTTACTTACCCTCATCCCGTTCAACCGGTGTTTCAATTCCTTCATTTGTTTGGTCACCGGTTTCCAGTGTTCGAAGTCCTCGTGCAACTCGTTGATCTCGTCGTAGCCACTGGTGCCCATACTCTTACCCAGATCCACCAGCAATAGGCGATGGGTATTGGGCCAGTTACGCTCAATATTGAATAATAAACCCCGCAAACACCAAGGGAGAATGTACGGGTTGGAACCAATCTTGGACACGTTAAACTCCTTAATGTACACTTGGTTCAGCTCGGGGATCTTGACAATCATTGTCCCCATATCTTCACCACCATACGGTTGCGGAAGCAGACCATAAACTCCCAAAATATCGCGCCGGTGAGGCTTAGGATCGTACCCTAAAAACCGAACCAGCTTCATTGCTGGCGGCACGACGATGTCGTCGGTGTCAAGGACGAATTTGAGGCCAATGTCATACACTTTGCCGTCGTTATAGATCTTCAGGTGGCCACCGCCGGTCATTGGGCCTGCCAACGACGGGGACAATTCCTTAATCACGTTGTTGTCGAAGTACCCCAAGTTTTGTAAGTGGCAACAAAGCAGGACAAGCTTCTTAATAAACGCAGGAGTATTTGACGAGTGGTCAATGTAGCATCCACGGTAGATATTGGGGTGGAACACGTGGCTAGCAAGCGCTGAGTAAAGGGGAACCAACTGATCATTAATTGAACCAATAAAGCAAATCTTAACGTTACAATTGACGATGATTTGCATCGACTGCTTATACTCCACCAGCTGGTCCAGATCGAACTTGGTAAGCTCAAAAAGCTCAAGCATCGAGTCGTGCTCGATTGTAGAGTACGCCTTCATCAACAACAGGCTATCTGCTCCGTAAAAAGGACCGTTATTGATACCGGCCATCCCTAAGATGCCAATACGTTTGTATAATGGGTTTTCAAGGATTCCCATTGCAATGAGTCGGGCAAGTAAAATGATCAGAACCACACAACCCTGAGAGTGAGCGGCGATAAAGATGAAATCAGCATCGTTTAACTCTTGACGCCATTTGATTAACACTTCAGTGAAAAAGCCCACCCGATCGAATATTTTACCTTCTTTCTCAAGGGCGATTTTCTGGATGGAAAGGTCATTCGGGTCTTTTTCCAGAATGAGACCATTTTCTCGACAATAACGTAAAATTGCCCTCTCGGCTTCATTAGCAAATTTCAATGAAGTGCCCTTGGGTGCACCAATAATGGGACGAATCATCTTTGTGGGGAAGAAACCATGAACACCAATAATGAGAATTTTTTTAATTTTGCGTAGTTGACCTGAAGTAGTGGTTTGGATCTCAGTAGCAGTATGGTTCTGGTTATGCTGTTGGCGACGTCGGTGGTTAATCAACATATTACCCATCGGATCATCCTGGATCAGAATATCTTCAGGGTTGGGTTCAGTTTCCAGGTCCAGAGTGGGTACCCAAAGCCCATCAGTGGGGTCAAAGTGTTTTGAGTAATTAGGTAAACACGCTCTCTTTCTTGGTGGAAGCTTTTGGAGACACTTGCCGTATAATTTATACGTCTTTTCATAGAGCAAATTCACCTCTTGTTCTAGGCGTTTAGCATCACTTTGATCTTCCAGTTGAGGGTCAATTTGTGAGTCTACCACGGCAGCTAGACCCAGCAGACCAAACCCTAACCGCAGTGAAAGCAGACTAAGGTACTCTCTCCACCCTCCCAAATCGACTTTAGCCGGTTGTTCTGGCTGGGCAAGCCCTGTCAGTGTTGAGGCTGAGTGGTTTTGAGTCAGATGAGGGTCACCAAAGAGCACTGCTGCTAGCCCTGCTCGCTGACTAGGTAAACAATCATCCCAATCAGGGACAACACAATTGGTATGGCCCAGAGTGTTTTTATCGGCATTCATCCGTTCAAACTGAGTGGCATTATCGTGAGGTTTATACAACACGGCGTCCTCAGGTTCTTCCAACGGGATAATGGTATTAGCCAGTGGTTTCAGCAGTTTCGGTTTAGGCGCTGGTGACCCTTTATCCTCATCGTCACTCTCCTTGTGAGATGATTTCCAGAACGTCCATCCTTTACGACGCCTCAGGCCTGCTTCTTCTTCCTCATTTACCCCGTCATCTCTCTCGTTAGTACCGTCATCCGTCTCCTCGGCGTTATCCCCGTAACCATGAGTATCGTGGTCATCATCGGGAAGCTCATCGTCGTCGTTGACGTCGCCTTCTTCGTTATAATCGGCAGGAGCTGGAGGGGCACTGGGGGCACCGGTATCGTCGTCGTTGTCGCCAGCTCCAGCTGCTCCAGCTGCTCCAGCTGTTTCAGAGCTAGTGGCATTGTCTGGCGCCAGTTTGTTGCCCCATGGAAGCCAGTTCAGGGGAGCCATCAATCAGTGGATCAGTAACAGCCGAGGTACCAGTAGTAGAATATAGTAAACCAATACCACAGCAGTTCCGGGCAATAATCAAAATGTCAATACCACTCTCAGTTGGAGATTGCACCGATGGGCAGGTTAAAGTTTTCACGATTGCTGGTAGAGCCTGCCAAAACGTGTAATGCCGCGGCTGGGGCCGATCACGTTCGCCGGATAGTGCGTGCCGGGTGCGACTTTTGCGGGGTGGGCCCTGGTCCCTTCATGTGAAGAATTCGCGAGCGGAATATTGATGCACGGGTGTTTTGTGTGAAATTCGTGATAGTGCCAAGTTTCGATTCCCGATCGTATCGTAAATCAGTTGCACTTACCTTAGTTAGATAAACGAGACCCATCAAATAAGGGACCGTGACCATCATAGTGAGAGGAAACTATAGTGAGACAACTACTGTCTTAAGTGTAGTACATTGATAAAATTGTGAACCACCATAGTATCATAGCTATCCACTAGTTGAGACTAGTACAGTCATTAATTAATTTCATCGTTCCCATCATATATTTCGGGTTCTAATTTGGTTATGTTTTGGTCCTGGTGGTAACACCTGCATATAATCTGCTCGTCTATCCTTATCACGCACTGACTCCATCGTAGGAGTCTCCCCTCCCTAGTCACCAGCTCTTCACCCCTTTTCTAACGCTAACCCTGGCGTTAGTCACCCTTGGCTTCTGACTGCAACACCAATGGCTCATACCCCTTCTCCTTCTGTGGAGGGAGCTCAATTGAAGCCGGCGACGGAGCCAGCGCCAGCTCCAGCGGCTTCCGCCGCCAGCCCTGTGGTGACCACCCAAAACTCGCTGATTCCAGCGCCTTCCGGAACAGCTTCTGGATCTACCACTTCCTCATCGGCTCCGGTAGCCGTGGCTAGTGGCAAACCTCAGGAGAACCAGCTGGATAAGGAGATTGCCGCCCCTGCTCTGCTGACTTTGTTTTCAGACCCCACACGAAAGTATGCGTTCCCCGCAGCTAAAACTGCCTCAAAGGAGACAACTAAAGATGCTGACACTATTAAAGCATCGGAATCAACGTCGTCGCAATCGCCGTCCACTCCATCAAGCTCCGATGATAATGGTGAAAGTGTGGACACCCTCAAGCAGAGACTCATGGACTTGCAATTGAAAGTGGAACAACTCAGCGGCAAGCACGTTGAGGTCACTACTACCGCTGTTCCTTCTACTAAGCTGCAACCTCAATTGGCTACGCCTTCTTCCACTCTGGTGGAGAAACTGACCCAGCCGCAACCTCAATTGAATACTGCCACTCCCATGGGGAAGCTGAGCAAGCCGCAACCTCAAACCGATGCCGGCAAAACCTCTACGACTACTAGCATTTTCACTAAGAAACCGACCACTCCGGTTGACTCGGCTAACCTGGTACCCACCACTGAGAAACTGAACTCTGCCAAGCTGTCGTCGGCTAACGCTACCGCTACTGCTTCTGCTCCTGAGGAGTCTGCGACCTTGGCGTCATCATCGAGTGGAAAGGAAAAGCCGCAAACTCAATCTAGCATTTTAACCATGCCGGCTAAGCCTGCATTGAATTTCGAATCCTTCGACAAGAAATGGGGCACGCTGGGTGTCTCCTCCACCCTGGGGTCTTCAACTCATAATGCAAACGCGGTGAAGCCGCTGTCGAGCAATGCTACGCCCACTACTGCTGCGAAGCCGCTGTCGAGCAATGCTACGCCCACTACTGCTGCGAAGCCGCTGTCGAGCAATGCCACGCCCACTACTGCTGCGAAGCCGCTGTCGAGCACTTCTACACCCACTACTGCTGCAAAGCCGTTGTCGAGTGATGCCGCGTCCACTGCTATTGCCGGTGCTTTTGCTACCCTTGGGCCACTTGGAAAGGAGAAGTCCCAATCTCAAACTGCATCGGCCACGTCTCTGGCTAACACTAGCATTTTCTCGAAGAAATCTGGCGAGCCACAATCTCAAACCAAATCGGCAACGCCGTCGACTACACCCAGGTGGGATTTTAGCTTCAAGAGTGTTGACTTTACAAAGCAACTTCATCCCAATTCGGCTACGGCTCCCGCGAATACCAGCATTCCTACCAACAACCAATCCCAACCCGGTTCGGCTGCGCCTGCTTTGAAATTCAACGTGTTCAACAAAACACTGGGCTCGCTGTTTGCCCCCGCCACCACTGAAAAGCTGAACACCGCCAAGCCCTCCTCGGGCAACGTAACGTCCACTGCTGCTGCTTCTGAGAAGTCCGGTACTCCGTGGCAATTGGGAAAGGATAAGACGTGGACGCCCGATAACGATAAGCCGCAATCTCAAGCAGAGTCGGCTTCACTCAAGTTGAATTTTGACGTTTTCAAAAAGACATCATCCCAACCATATTTGCCTAAGGCGGCTGCGGACACTGGCAACTCCAAAGAGAAACTGGGTACGCTGGCTGGCTCCTCCAGCACGGGATCTACCACTAACGCCGCCAAGTCTCTGGCTGCTAATGCTACTTCCACTGCTGCCGCCACCAACGCCACCGCTGCCTCGGGACTGTCTAAGCTTTTTGGGGGCGTCTCAGCGACGGCTACCAACGCGTCGGCTGACGATAAGCCATATGCGTTTTTACCATTTTCATCGCCACCTTTTGCGAAGAAGGACCAGCCAAAGCCAAGTTCCTCCACATCTGTTCCTCCAACGGCGTCCCAAAATGAACGCCTGGGGTCATCTGCAGCTCCATTTGAAGACTGGAGAATTGACATCCACCACAAAGTGACGCGCCACCAACCGCAAACCACTGTGGGGAACGCTTCCGCCTGGGCTGCGTGGTTCAGTGCCACCCGCCACCTCCTCACGGTGTACGAACAAGACGTCGAGGCTCACTATTTCTGCTGGAGCATGCTTCTTGACACCATCCCCAAAGAGTATACTCGCGGCAGATCTGAAGCAGGGTCGATTATGATGCAGGCGATATCGTTGGAACACCATCTTAAGAAGTACGACGAGCGCGTGGCCGAAGCCAATAAGATACGCCAGGTAGTAGATGACGTGCTTTCGCAAAATGGCGATGTGGGTGCCGTCATCAAAGCTTTGGAGGCTCACCAGCGTCAAACTCAGGGGGTTCCTTTTGCCCTGGCAACGAATACATTTTTCGACAAGGTCAACAATGGGTTTGCGCCGTCTTCATTTATACCATGGGTGGCAACGGAGGGTGGTACCAGCAGGGCGGTCATCGAATATCACAATATCTGCGCTAATCCCCAGTATAAGCACCTCTCGTTTGAGGAGATACGTTTGAAGGACTACCAACTGAACAGAGTGGTCAACGTGTCCAGTGGTAGAAACGACTTTCGGGCATTTGTTCCCTGGGTTGAGAAGGAGTCTAACAATGGTCTTGTTGAATTCCACAATATCTGTGCCATTCCCGGGTATAAACACCTTTCCTTTGAAGAGTTGCGCTTGAAGGATTACGAGGTCGGTCGGGGTGGAAAGGCTGAATTTATAAAGCAAGGAACTCTGAACACCACCAATGCTTCAGGCAAGCAAAGGCCTTCGACGTTCGGAACATCCAGTGAACCGAAACCTCTGGGTAGCGGCGGTATTTTTGGTGGCAACAACAACGTGTTTGGGCAACAAAAGCCTCAGGAAAGCAGCAGCGCTTCCAAGCTGAGTGCGACGCCGGGTAGCAATGTGTTTGGTCAAGCTAACTCGAACGTTGCCAACGTTCCTGTCCAGGGTAGCCTGGGTACCACCACTTTTTCCAATCAACAAAAGGCGCTGAGCACCACCGGCGTGTTTGGACGAAACCAGACGCTGAGCGCCAGCACCCCTGGTACTCAGCCAACGACGCTGGGCGCTGCCAAGGCCACCATGCCACAAGCCTCTCTGGCAAGCACCACTGCGAATGCTCAGCAAAAGTTCGGCTTTTTTGGAACCCATCAGTCTACCCTTGCGCAGGATCACCAATCATTCCTCCTGGGTGGCACAAGTTTTGGCCAGCAAAGGTCTCTGGCGACCACTAGCTCCAATCTCCCCCCGGCTACGGGTTCATTCTTTGGCCCCCGGTCCAGCATTTTTGGCCTGCCGCTGCCGCTGCCACTGAGTGCCAATACCGGTAGTAGCCAGCAACCGGGTAACCCCAACAACTCCAGCCAACAAAAGACCCAAGGCAGCAGCGGCCTTTTTGGTCAACCAAAAAGCCAGTGATTATACCTCCAAAGCGGTAGTCACAACCCTATGCGATCGATTTTCAGCGATATCAGAGACGAGAGAGATCATTTAACGAGTAATTTTTTGACGAGTAATATTTTGACGAGTAATTAATGAGACATATAGTAATAACAAAGCGATATTCAATAGTTTCACAGAGTTCATTCTGGTTCAAGTGGCGAACCTGAATATGTGCAGGAATATAAGTGACCGGAGACTCAATTTTGCAAACAACTCCATCAACGGTACAACAGTAGAGTTAATACAATGGATTGAAGGCGATTTTTAGCCCTATTTCCTCCTGGTTTTACCGTTAACGGTATGATTTCCCTTTTGAGAGAATACCCGTTACCGTGCATACGAGGTGCGTGTCAGTTGAGATCAGGTCAATTGAAAAACGTATTCTTGGTATGAGCACGACTGTTTCTTGTATTTTGTGTATTACACGCAAAATAGCCATTTCCAGCGTGCTTGGATCTGATTTTCGTGAAGTGAAGCTCCTTGAGTTCCAATTATTCACCTCTTTCCTCGAATTATAATTACTCCAACATGAATCTTGAAACCCTGTTTTGGGAAGAATCATCTGGCAACTGCATTTCATTAACCTACGCTGTCAATGCTAAATAAACCCTTAGCTAGCTTCAATTTAGTAGTTGTAGCAATTATTTCTGTCCTATTTGAGAGAATTTAACAACGGTACTTAGCCATAATTCTCAAATTTACAAAGGTTTCAACTTCTAATTGACCATTTCCAACCAGTCCTGCTGGTACCCTGGTGGTACCCAGCACACCCTAGTGGTTACCAGATATATCACGACTCGAATCGCACGCGCACTTAATGAGTCTACTACTAGAGAGCAGCCACGGGGTGGCGGTGCTTGATTTCGACATTGAAACATACCCAACTTTATGTCGCCAGGTGTTTAATGTGGCCCGCAAACCGAAGCTTATCCCTGGAAGCGAAGGAGTGACGTTTGAAGGTGTTTCCGTCAAGGGAGATATTGCCACAGTTGCCATCGAGCCAGGCGCTATAATCGTGGATTCAGACAACCACGTGATAATTAGACTCAAATCAGGTCATGGGCGATGTATCGGTACCGTTGGTGAAGGGTTTGACGTGATTCAACTGATAAAAACTGATGAATTGATTACTGTGGTTGAGCTTCATAACCCATACATCGGTGCTACAAAATTGGACGATATCTCTCGCCAGCGGGCCAAAGCCCTCGAAATTATTGGTGACGTCGATGACCATACCGTCGAGCCCCTGCCACAAACGATATTTGTCGCTCGTCTAGCTCCGCAGACGCTGGCGAATGCCCTTGAAGTGGTATTTGGCCGGTTTGGCTCCGTGCGCCAAGTGACGCTTAAAACCGGGTACGCCTTCGTCGAGTTCGACCAGGCGGCCAGTGCCGATGCTGCTGTGACCCATTTTAAGGATAAAGGCGGTGTCGTTGACGGAAGGGACCTCAAAGTGGACTACTCGCAATCTACTACAAAATGATGAAAAATAATCGAATTTTCCTTTGAATTCACAGAACTATAAATAAGGAAGGTGAGGTAAAAGGAAATAAACCAGGATAAGTCATGAAGCATCATTAATAGTCCACACGCCCACTCACACAGGTACCCCTAAACGCTCCCCTATTTTTGTCGTTACTTGACCATTTGGGCGTCTATTCGGGGCACTCCTTCAGGATGTGGCCGGTGTTGCCGCAGTTGTAACAGGTCTTGGCGCCGAAGTTCTCCCCGCCAGCAGCCAGGCGGCACTCCTTCAGGATGTGGCCGTTCTTGCCGCAGGCATAGCACTTGACGACGCCCGCCTGGCAGTCACGGGCAAAGTGGTTGGGCCCACCGCACTTGTAGCAGGTGGTGCCGCGAGAGCCGGCCCGAGGAGCAGCACCGGGGGCACCGGTACGCTTGGGACCCGCGGCAACGGGGGCACCGCCGTTGGTGGTGCAGTGCTTCAGGATGTGGCCGAATTGGCCGCAGTTGTAGCACTTCAGCCCCTGGGCTTGAGTGGGGCAGTCCAGCTGGACGTGGCCGACGTCACCGCACGAGTAGCACTGCTTGGTGGTGGGCTGCTTGGGCTCGGGGCAGTCGCCAGACTCGTGGCCGGGCTTGCGGCAGTTGTAGCACAATCTCTCCTCCTGGGTGCAGTCGTCAGCCAAGTGGCCGACCTCACCACACTTGTAACACGTTCTCGGGAACACCGCAGCCATCTCTTCTTCCTCTCTTTTGATTAAAGGTTTGCAAACGACGAGCTGGGGCAGGAGGAGAATTTTTTTTTTCGACTCCGCGAGTGGGGTGGCGATGCGGCGTGCGCCAACCAATTGTGTGACTTCCGGGGACCGACAAACACAAGAGGATTAGTAACGTCTCTAATTTGATGGGAAACGTATTCAGCTTTAAGTATTGGATTGATTAGGGTACTGGTGTCAGTTGTGGTTCTGATTTGAGTCTAGTAAGTAATCATTACTCGCTATTTTGGTGTATACTCTGACTTTAAGTGGAGTGTATGAAGTAACACCAGTGATAATTAACCTTCTATAAAGGTCTTTGTTATGAAATTTGACTCGACTTTTTTTGAATGACTTAATGGTGATGATGGCTCGCTTAGCTCCCTACCCGTTGACCGTTTACACCGTTGTAACCGTTGTCGCTCATTGTGTCGACGTCGCACTTTTTCACTGGCCGGGTCTGATTTACCGGTATCCAGTCCTTAGTCCTCGTAAACTATTTGAACCATGGTTTACCGCTACTTGTTCAACCGGTGGGTTGATCCCGTGATCGGGGTGACGATCGGGGTGGCGGCGTACGCGGTGGAGGAGCACAAGGCGCACCTCGCCGGTAACCGTCTCGTCGACTTAGTGCGCCGCCGCTACGCCAATTAGTTAATACAAGGCGGACTATATTAATAGCATCTATATAATGAATTAACGTAATTATCATTGTGTCTATTTTGTTGATTAGATTAGCTATGGCAAGAGTGGAATAACTTTTGATTGTGAATAGAGATATATGGGTTAAATAGCAGCCTTGAACTTAACCACTAGTTGAGTGGCTTGCGCTTCGCCAACGTCAGCGGCTAACGCTTGTTGAATCTTTGTCCACGTGGCTGGAGTGACGGTAGTAGCGTCGGTAGTGGCTTTCGCGGTTTTCTCTTCCGACACCTCCGACTTTTCCGATGCTGCCGGCGCCGATACCATTACCGTCGCACTGGCAGAATCAGCATCGTCAGCCACTACCAGCAGCAACTGGGCCAGGTCACTGACCACTTTCAGCTTAATCAACACTTTCAAGTCCTGCGGAGCCACGCCAGCCTCCTTAAGAGCCGGAACCAGCTCAATCAACATCTGCTTCACTCTAAAAACCAGGACGTGCGCCGGGGTGTCGACCTCGGCGGAAAACTTGAACGGCGGCTTGATCAGCTTGAAACTGACCTTGACGTGACGGTCCTGTTCGTTTTTATTCGTGGCTTGGTTGTCTTTGGGGAAGGGGAAGCGGAGCAACGGCAAGCTGGGGCCCAACAGTGGCAACTGGTTGTAGTCACTGGTGGAGAAGAACTGGTCGGCGGGCTTATCCGACGACAACAGGATCAACTTGAGGTACGTCTTGACGAAATCCAGCTCCAGCATTTGACAGAATTGGTGGTATTTGAGGGTAATAGGTGGTGGCCTTAACAAAGGGGAGGGAGCTAGGGACGGGCGCGATTACAATGTGTGTGCGAGCCTGTGATCGCCTGATATATCGCACCTGTCCCTATTACGACTACCACGTCAATTGAAGCTGGCAACGCCAATTAATTGACTATTCTAATCCTATTTTTGTGAAAGTTGATCCCAACTATTCGTTGAAGTCATCCCAGATTAATTGTGATATTGATTTGGACTGAAATTTATACCCAATTAAGATTACCACACAAATCCCTCACTAGTGGGAATTACACGCCAATTGCCATCCAATAACTCATATTTAAGTTGATATGCTGTTCTTTAAGTCGTTCCGCAACAAGTATGTCCCTTTGGCCCAGGAAGACCCCGGGCTTCCCTTACCCGTTACCGAACCTCAATCGTCAAGTGACCGGTGGCAGGCACGGTTCCAGCGGCTCAATCCGTTCTCTCGAGGTGTCCAATTGGATGAGGAATACGTCACCAGTGATCCGGGGATGTTTGAGCTCTCTAGGTGGGATCGAATGCTTCTTTTCGCCCTTACTTTCGGTGGGGCTTTAAGTTGTTGGATCATCTGTATTTTCTTATTTCCCGTGTTGCTGTTGAAGCCACGTAAGTTTGCCATCTTATGGTCGTTGGGGCTGTTGCTTTTCCTCGTCAGTTTTGGTGTTCTTCAAGGGTTTGTGGCTTACGCTACTCACTTAGTGCTGAGCACCCGCCTTATATTTACGGTGGCGTTTTTCACGTCAATTGTGATGACCCTCGTCAGTGCTCTTTCGCTTAAACTGACAATATTGCTGATTGTGTTTGCTGCTATTCAATTATTGGCGGCGTTGTGGTACACGGTAAGTTACTTCCCTATGGGCACTCAGACCCTCAACTTAGCCGCCGGTGTCGCGAGATCTCAGGTTGAGGGGTGGATGACAAGCTAGGGTAATTACGGTTGTTTAAATAGAAAGAGATTGTGTCTATGGAATCTGATCTATACTGTCTCTCGTTATTAGAAGACATTGTATCGATGACATCATCAGTGTGTTACTACAATCACATTATTTTGAATAGAAAGAAATATACAATAATTCTAAATGTGTTTGATATTCTCTCTGTTCATGATGAGCACCTGGTGAGTGACATCCTAAGTAGATTACACAAACAAGGATATACACGGTGAATTAAAATGTGGTGCCTTCATCTACTTGATAGTCAACACTGAATAGGGTCACGTCTTAAAGTCTTACGATTATCATCATCACTACTACGGCTGCTTTCCTAGAAACAAGTCAATCAGGTCTTTGACGTTAATTCCTGTCAGTTTCTGATATTGTTAAATCTCTATATTCTATCCGAAGGCGGCGTCGATGCCCTTGGCCACCACCTGTTTGATGGCGGCGTTGGCGTCAGAATCGCCCTCAACCGTCTCCTTCAACGTCGCCACTTTGGCGGTGACGTCGTCGCCCAAGCGCGCCAACTGCTTCAACGCCAGCAACGCCAACACGTACTTCTGTTGAAGCAAATAAATATCGAAAAGCACTCTCCACGTGGTGACGTAGTCTTTAGCCTCTTCCAGCAACGGCTTCACGAGGGTGAGAAGCTGGTCCAAGGCGTTGCCCGCCAGCGCCACCTCGTCGTAGGCAGTTACGCCAAACGGGTCCTGGTCGTCTTTAACCAGTTCCACCTTGGTGGCCCATTCTTTTTGCTTTTTAGTGTACTTTCTCTTGGCTTTCTTTTGCGGCTTTTTGGCAGCGGTAGAGCCGTTGGTGGCACTGGCAGCAGTTTGTTGTGCCTTGGCCAAATCGAAGTAGAGGTCCAGGAGACCCTTGATGGCTCTGACGTAGATGGGAGTGCCGTGGATGCGGTCTTCCCATTTGAGGGTGGCGACATAGTCTCTAGGAGTGCCCCGTCTCATACAGTACAGGTGGAAGTCGTACTGGTCGTTGTAGAAGGTCTCAAACACCTTGACGACGCTGTGGAACCGTTTGAACGCGAGCCCGCGGTACAACTCGGCCAATTCCTGGTGTTCTTCATCGTCCACCGCCTGCGCTTCGCGGTATAATCTGGTGTAGGCCTCACCGGATTCGACAAGCAACCAGTTCACTTGCATCAAGTGCAAATCCTTGCACCCGTTGACGGCGTCGTCGTCGAGCTTGGTGAAAAGGGAGATGGTGGCGACGGCGTCGTCGACACGGTCAGCCCTCAAAAGGTACTTAGTGGCCTTGGAGTTGACGAAGCGGTCCTGCAAATCGAGCTGGCGGCCTTCGTCCATGATCTGGGCCGCTTCCTGAGGCTTCCCTTGGTGCTTAGTGATGCGGGCTTTGAGGATATAGAGCTCGACGAGGGTGGGGGAGTGTTTGAGGGCCAAGTCGACGTAGCGCTGGGCCTGGTCGTAGTGGCCCTGGTACAAGTAGTTTTGCGCCAAGAAGTACTGGGTCCACACTCTGATGGTGGGGTTTTTCTTCTCCAACTCGGGCACTTGCGTCTCGTAAAAATCGGTGACGAGGCCTTCGATCACCGCCCGTTTGGCCTTATTCTTGTAGATGGGCTTGACGTTGACGAACGTCAGCGGTACGCCGCGCTTCAATTGGCCAATGACGTAGTTGCGGGCCAGTTCGGCAAATTGGGGCAGGTCGGCGGGCAAAAACGTGAGCGGAAGAAAGGCGGGGGGGTCCAGCTTCGGGTAAAACAGGGCCAATTTCTGGTATAACGAGTAGCGCACAACAAAATCGGCGTTGCTCGTGCCCAACGCCGTTTCCAATAACTTATAGTAGCCGGCGTTATCCGGGTTCCGTTGGAGTAAACGGCGGTACTCCGTCGCCGCTTCGTCTTTGCGGCCCAAAAGCATAAGGTATTTAGCCTTGTACTCGTGGAAGCTTAATCTATCCAAGATAGACTCACTGTCGGTTTCCAACGTCTCCAACGCCTGCTGGTAGTCCCCCAGCTCGGCGATGAGCAGCACCTTATACAACACGCACTCCAGGTGCTCGTACTTGTCGGCGTCGGTCATGTGGGGTTTGATCAAGTCCTCGATCTTAACCAACGTCAGCACCGCCTGTTTGGGATCACCGGCAAGATGGTGCAGCACCGCCACCCCCGTCCAGTTGGCCCGGTACCCCGGCTGGGACTCGAGGTACTGCTGGCGCAGCTCTTTCAAGTGTTTGTAGTCTCTCACCTGCAGTTGCAACAGGGCCAAGTCCCTCAAGATCGGCTTGTTGGGCAGGCCGTTGTCCATCAGCGCCTTGAGCCACTTGGCGGCCTCGGGGTAGTTTTCGACGCTGCGGTAGTAGATGCCGGCCAAATGGCACACGAGGAAGTTGTTCGGTTCTTTGGCAATCGCCTTGGTGATGTAGGGCTCGGCGTCGTCCTTGTGGCCGAGCTGGAAGTTGAGACACCCTTTGAGCGCCGCCAGCTCGGCGTGGGCCAGGTTCTTCTTGAGCGTCTGGTCGACGAGCTTGAGCGCCTTCTTGTACTGCTTCGAGTCGTAGAGCTTGAGCGCCTCGCGGAACTGGCCATCCTCTTTGTTGGCGAATATGGGCGTCGCCGCCTTCTTCGGTGCCATCGTCGTCAACGGTGATCGGAACGCGCGCGAACAACGACTATGAAAGGAGGAGGGCACGAAGAAGAGAGGGGGTCTAGAGATTTGAAACGTGCTGAGGTATGAGTAGTTTTGTTGTAGTTGTAGGGTGGTAGCTTTTTAATTCAATTTTTAGCATGGTTTCCGTTGATTTATTGATTTATTGGATGCTTAGTAGTGGTAGGCTTGGTGGGGCTAGGGTCCCGCGAATTTTTCAGCCGCCCTCAGTAGGCGAGAGTGAATGCCAATTAAAAAGATTGTATTCCATTGAAACGACCTATTTTAAGAATGGTAGTAAGGTGATGTTTGTTGCATGAGCAATTTAGTTTTAGGTTTGGGTGTCGATTGAAGTCTATCGTCACTCCGAAAGTGTAGACGAGTGAGGTGCTAGGCTAGGCTAGATTGATTAGAACTGGTCGGGAAATAGTTAGCTTTGGCACTGAGTTAGTGTCCAGCAATATGTCATGGTTAAGATACGCGGAGTAACCTTTCAAACGATGTTCGTAGACTGCTTCATTGTTTCATTCTTTTGAAAGCGGGGAGTGTCTATAGTGATGATTGTGTGATTTGTGAAATTCTCACAAAATCTATCGAAAATGGTAACCATGATGAATTGTATAAATTCGACGATAATTGTAAATTGATCAGGCATGTCACTACGGGGTAAACAGGTAATGAAAGAGAATATACACTTTTTGTATAAGATGAAGGGTAGTCGTCATCAGATGGCGTACCATCGCCACCAGCGAATTCATTCTTGAGTGCTGGCGTAGCACCTGATTGCTGACAATCTCCCTCAGAAGTTTAAATACTGATATCACGGCATCACCAGCGTGAGTAGTGACATTTTGGTACAAAAGGATTGGATCGTGTTTCGACTTCTAGATGTATTCTATCTAGCTACCATACTCAAATCGTTTCACGCGTATAATACATTTATTTGGCACAGTTCCGATGGGAAGAAAAAAGTTATATGATCATGGCGATAGTCCTTAATTGTTTCGTTAGCAATAAATAGTGTCTCATGGTTTCAGAATCGGTTTCATCATCAGTTTCATCATGGGTGTCATCACTGGTGTCATCACTGGTTTCATCATTCGTGTCTCATCTCGTGTCTCATTATATCAACATTTTTGGTTCGATGCTGTGTTCGACGCACACGCGGTAGTAGGCTAAATAAAACGGCACTACCACGGGGGTCAACCGACGGCCCAATTGTCTCCATTTCTCAAACGGTCGAGGCAGCTGGACGTCCATATAACTGCCGGTATACGTCAGAAGCGTAAGCTCCTGATGCGGCAGCACTAATGACATCTGATACATGAATTCAAGGCACTCGTCAGGGTCGGCGGCGACGCGGCGCTCCCATTCGGGTGACGACCGAGTATCGACATTATACTGGGCGGCGAGGGCAAACGCTAACACTTGGAACTCCCACGGGGCCATCGTTGGTTTGAGCAGTAATTCACCGTCTTCCACCTCCAGTACCGGACTGGGGTGGTCAAACCGAGGTCGCTTACTAAGCAGCAGCGATGATGATGATGAAGAAGAAGATGATGTTGTTTCAGAAGTGGTTTCAGAATTGGATGTGTGGGGTCTTTTTGTGACAATTGCTGCTGGTTCAAGTTTTGGTGATGTCACTGGTGGCGCCCATTCGGCTCCGGGAGCTTGCGGCGGCGGTACATTGGCCACCCCAATGGCAACACACGCCTCATAAAACGCGAGATAATCCTCGATAATCTCCGGGTTTATCAGTTTCAGAATTTCCACGATGGCGCGATGGGAGCGTGGCAGGCGTGACAACGCCAGTAGATCGTAGACGGTTTTCTTCAACCCCTTATTCGTCGTTTCAGAAATGTTGGCGTTACACAATTGTTGGTAAAACGCCCCTAAGTCCGACTGGGCCCGCGCCACTTTCGCCGGGTGGGGGTCCACTTGTTTGCCGTATTGGGTGGCTAGAGCGATGGCGACCTCGCGCCACTCCCACCCGAATAGCGGCTCGTGCGGTCGCAGCCACGGCGGCAACGGCGGCTTCGCTTCGCGCCTCAGCGCTAAAAGCGCCACCGGCGCCTCGCGCTTGCGCTGGCCGTTACCCTCGCTCTGAGGGGTGGTCGTCACCGGCGCCAGCGCCGCCCGCGGCAGCAAGGCGCCCGCCAGCTCGAGCGACGACAGGCGCGGTCGTCGCCGCTTGTGGGCGCAGCGGTCACAGGTGAACGGCTCGTCGGCGGCGTCGTGGTGGGCGCACTGCTGGTGGTAGGCCTGGGCGCAGGTGGCGCAGTGGACCCAGGTGGTGGCGAAGGGGTCCTGGCACACCTGGTAGGGACACAACTCGCGCTTGTGGGGCTTGTTTTCCGGTGTATCGAGGGCGCCCATTTGGTGGTGGTGTGGGTGAGGGAAGCAAGCGATCGCCACTATGTTGGCGCGCGCGCGCCGCTGTCAGTGCGGTGCGCCCAGTGCGGGGGTAAAGGCATCGGGCCGGCGGAAAAACTCAGATAGTCAGGCACCGCGCGAACAGGACACACATGTCAAAAATCCGTCACAACGTCAGACACAGACCCGTAAATATCGGCTAAATCCAAAAATAGACGACACAAATAAGATGACAAATTGGTCATTACATTTCATCGTAAGCTCAGTTTAGTCTATTGCTTAGGCGTACGTTGGCCTGATTCTTTGGAGTCATTCCGTTTTAGTTTTAGGAAGTGACAGGTTTGTGGGGCTATTAGACACAAAGCCGCACACGATTGATATGAGGTTAATAAGTCCCAAAATAGTCCAAAAATGGATTGGTTTACGATGAGAAATTCATTGGTCTACTCTCACTTCACTAATCAAGAAGTTCTAGTCTTGCTGGGTTGAGTTTGTGGCGTCTACCAATACTCAAAGTAAACTGGTGGCTTGTGGGGCGATCACGGTGAGTCGCACGATTTACCCTAGCTATACGACTAGAAGTCTACTAATAGATTGTACGAAGAGAAGGACAGGCGTTTTATTTCTTTGTTCATCAGCTCATGTCATTTGCTCGCCCTTACTTGATGCGGTGGCGGTGGCGTCGTGTGCTAGGGCAACCTAGTGCTAACTTCGTCTACCATAGTGGGTCGCACGATTAGTATAAGCTGCAAAACTAGAAGTCCCAGAATAGAAACGAATGATACGATTTGTTCTTTCATTGCTCAGTTCACTCAATCACTTTCTCTTACTTCATTCTGATGTGGTGGCATCACGTTTCAAACACAAGCAAGCAGTGGTCGCCTTTTGCTACTACAGTGGGTCGCACGATTTTTTGTTAGTGCGCGACGGGACGCGCGACTCCCTCACCCTTAAAGCCTCTTGTCGCACCAAGGGTACCCCCTTACACCCACCACTCTCTCGTCGAAGCCAATTCCCCCGTGCTGCCATGTCTGAGGCCGACGACGTGTTGGACTTCATCAACCTGCTTCCCGACTCGAAGTCAGGCACCCCGCACCCGCCCGGCGACGCCAATAACGAGGAGCTTTTGGACTTCCTCGACGAACTCGCCGAGGAAGATAAAGACCCCAAAAAGACCGCCACCGCCAACAAGGAGTCCAAATCTGAAGCAAAGGATGCTACTAGAGACGAGGCTCCCAAGACCACCACCACCAAAAAGAAAATGACGGCGAAAAAGGACACCTCAACCACTAATGCGCCCACCAAGGACACCGACGCCGAACCCACGGCTGAAGCCACTGCTGCGCCCACCACTGACACCAAAGCCGCTGCTGAAACTGATGAACCGTCACAGGAACTGCTGGACGTGGTCAATGCCATTCTGTCGTGGTGGGGGTCGGGTAAGGGGCTCCTCGGCTCTCTCGCCACTAACGCCCAGCAAATATCGGAACAAACCTACCAAAACGCCCTGAACTTGACCAACGAACTTAACCGCAAGGGTAAGGAGTACTTGGCTTCCGAGGACGCGGCGTTGCCGAAGCCTGACATCAACAGTTTGGGCGCCCGTCTCAACTCGTTGCTCACCAATGTCAGCTCACAGATCACTCAGGGGCTTATGAGTGAAGACGACGAATTACTCAATATCCTCTTGGTCTACGACGCTAAGCTTAAATATCTCGATCTGCTCGTATCAGCTCAATTTAAGCGGGTGATGACTCAGGTTGAAGGGGGGATCGCCGTCAATGTCACCAGCTTCAACCACTCTAACCTTGAAGGGGTGGACGACTCCAAGGCCACTGATTTGAGCATGTTCTACGGCAAGCTGGTCGACGGCGACAAGCTCTGCTACGCCAACTTGGAGCTGCTGATCAAGGACTACCACCGCATCGCCCAGGAGCTGGCGGAGAAGCAGAGCCACTTGGACCAGATCGAACTCAACCAGCTGAACTTGTTCGTGTGCATCCAGCCCGTGTGTGTCAGCCGCGACAGTGGCGACGACGACGACATCGAAACCATTGCTGGTGACGCTCCCGGCAACTTCTCCTTCACCGTGGTGCTCAAAGATATCACCAACGACATCACCATCGCCACCAAGACCCAGCCGTTCCCGCTTAAGTGGGCGCAGTGGCTCAACGGTGAAGACTTGGAGCGTTTCGGCGACGACGGCGACATCGACCCCGCCCAGTGGGTGCGCGACTGGATCCGTAAGGGGTTGGACTTGTCGTTCGGGGTGCTTGCCCAGGAGTACGTGATCAGACGTATGGGCTACTAGGCACCGCATTTACGCCGTCATATCATTCATTTAATATCATGCCTAATATCAGTACCAACCACCCTGTAGCGATCCACACACGAGATTTGGTCTCGTCAAGTCAGTCCATCGTGAAAACTACATTGTTATAAGAATGCAATCAATTCGTTATAGTTGTATATTTTGTGTTTACGCCTCAAGTCGCCTTTGCTTAGAGTTTGACAATGCTTTCCATGCCAGCGTAAATAGTAACATTTTCACGCTTAGGTTCGAGTCTTGAAAGTTGCAAGTGAACGGCGTTCGTGATGTCCTGTGTACACTCTTATAAAGGTCAATCGTCATATTTGATTGCTATAAAACGCTGCGGTCTGTCCAAGAAAGCTCCCTCTCGTGGTCTAAAGGCAAGATTGACGTTCATTGAAAGAGTCTCCCAAATTTATATGAAACATTTAGGTTCACACGATGCTTACCAAAGATGAGATGAGCTACGTTCATACTCAGGTGTCGGAAGCTCAAATTCATTCAAGAGTAGTTCCAAGTGCAATATTCAGTTCAAAAGGCTGTACACTATAAACAGTTTATCTTGAGCTGTGCATCTACCCCAGTGATCATTCTGATTTCAAGAATGTGCTTCTATTCATAACCTTTCGATGATATGAAAACAACGCTGGCAAAACCATTGAGATACGTGTGGTGCTCAGCTTGCCATGGATTGATGGTTTATATACTGCATATAACACACCGCACCACTCGTCAAAAATTATTTCAAATTTTTTTTTCAAATTTTTTTTATTTTGCCACCGATCCAAAACCATGTGCCAGCCTACACAAAAAAAAAAGGACTCGGAACAGCTGGAGGTACGGGCTGGTCGAATATATGGAAAAGGAGAGAATCTAAACGAACCAGATTAAGGATGTATGTAACCCCTACTTTATAGCGGCTACGGGTTAACCATACGGGAAGCAAAAGAGAATTTTCTCAAAATAAAAAAAGATTTTTTCGGCAGTGACGACATCCTTGTCTAAACACGCTGATCATATGCAGGTGCGTCATGAGGAATACAGAGAGCACGTCAATTGATGCACCTAGAATAGCTAACTCATTTCTGTAGGCACAGTTACAGTTTTTAACAGCGTCTATACGGTTTGACGAGTCTCCTGGAAGCTGACGCTACTGCTGACACTATTATCATGCGTATAAGTTCCAGTCCTGTACATGATATGTAGGACTGCATATTATCTGCACCATTTCAACCAAGTTCTTTAATGCTTATATCACGCTCTAAACGAAGTTGAAAGTCATCCCCATAGTTTTCACAGTTCCTACAACGCTACCAATAACAAATGGGAATTTATTGAATTTTTCATTAAAATATTAAAAAGGTGAATATAAAATCAGGAAAAATCGATAAATTCAAACTTTGTGGTCCATAATTATTGTTGGCGCTATAAGTATAGGTGATAAATATTTGGGCCAATTGGTGTAGGATTTGACGTCGTCCAAGCAATATTAATTTGAGCAAGTTATATGCAGGTGTGCATATTTCATGCAAAAGCATATGTTGTATACAGGTATGGTTGTGTATGCAGTACACGAAATTTTCGTAATACGCTCATCTTATAATCATCGTGATCACACGATGTTTCTTGTGTGAAATTCATGGAGCATGAATTACATTGTGCTTATTTCGCCTACTGAGAAATTAAGCCTAAACACTTTCCCGTAGTCAAGTTGAGAGGTACTTGTTGCGAGAGTGGCACAAACACGGAGAAGATGCGCTGATAGTTTTCATACCAGGTGCACCCAAGGTTTATTCGATTAATTTAAAATGTCGCTCATATCTCATCAACTTTTCTCTCTTTCCTCCTACATCTCACCCTAACACTATGGTCAAGCGTGATGAAACGTTAGGTATTTTAACACCTTTCTTTGCCCCCCTTTTTGTTTCGTGGGCCTGCTGTTTGTTGCCAGTCAATTGCGTGATGAGAGAGGTTTCACTGCTGGCGGCGAATTTGGCTAGACCTTGAAATCAGCACCGGGTCAAATAATCTGCGAGTCCGCAACTATAGTCTTCTCGTTGCTAGGGTAAGGGCTTTGAATCCCGCCGAGGCCCCTCGAGAGTGTTCGCTTGAGGACGACTTTTGTGGATCCCATCCTCACCTAATGATAAATATGGTAAATCTGTCGATGCATCACACTAAAGAGCTCAGGAGCTCCAGTCGTGGAGTGATTGCCAGGTATACCTTGTCTCGAGTTGGACTCGTCCCCAATTGGGTTTCTTTTTCTCTTCCAAATAGTCAATATGACACTTTTGATCAATCGATTTCTTGTTCGTAGCGATACTTGCACCGTTGCCAACTTCCACTGATAAGGCGATTGTTGTATTCAAAATTTAAGGGGGAAATACAAGGCCGTACTATTGATCTAATGGGTATTGGATAATGCACAGTTGCTGCCAATTAGGTATTGTCTTCGTCGTATCTCCTCCTTTTACGATGCGGTCTCTGGCAAAAAGGATTACTTGAATGAAGCACACATCTGGTGGTTGCGTCGACCGAAGGATCTGTTGAAATCTATACTTCCCCTGGAAAAAAGCTCGTTTTTTGTGATTGGTTAATATCAAACTTAGTTCAATGAACCATTGTTGGATTCTAATCACGTTCTATTCCATTTCCCATTGAAAGTATGTCAAATTGTATCCCTTCAGCGTTGATGAATTCATCTAGACTCTTACCAAATATCAGTTGAGCGGCAGGGCTAGTATTGGAGTCAGTAGTCCGGCTGCGTTTAATGCTTCTCTATAACTCCCCGCAGTTCAGAACTGGTAGAGTCTTCGACACTCAGTCATTTTGTTAAACAATGGTATATCGTGAAAAGTAAAGCAATTCTTCAAGTCCCAGCACCCGCTCTTGTTTGCAACAGTGATTGTCGCCAGCGATCTTACTCGCAAAGAATCCAACAAACTTGAGGTTCCCAAGTAAGTGATTGACGATATTCGAATTGTTTAATATTGCTGCCGAGCTTGTGACATTCGCCAACGGTTCGAGGTAAGTAACGAGATCTCACGGTAAGTACCAAACATGTTACAAGTTTGGCTTAGACGGACTGGCGCTGCTGACAGTGGTTTCCAAACAATCGTGAACAATGTCGAATCGTCAAAGCAAAACAGACCCACATTGCCTAGCAGCGTTAGCGATATCGGCACCAGCATTAACAGATGCCGTCGAGAGGTTTTAATGAGTGGTGCCATCGGTTTCATGCCTTGAAAGACTCTGGGTGCCTTTAGACTTCAGCAGGAATCAGTTTCACCTTGCTGTGGTGCAATTCTCTGATCATGATACATCTCTGCAACGACGTTAGCGTTCGATTTCCGTTCTTATGGGGCTGAACCCTCCAAAAATTGCAAGTGGTCGGGTGACAGCTGGAGGCTCAGCGTTTGAGTGAATGGTGTAACGGCAACCGTGGCGAGGAACAACGAGTGGGTAGACTCAAGCTTAGCTCTAATCGAGTCGATGGAATCACTAGGTACTCAATATGGAAAGTTGTTAGTTTAAATTAGATCTGAGAGTTGCTGAACAGAGTAAACTGCATACTTGGCTCATGGAAAGCGGTAGCAGAGTAAAGTGCATGGCGCGAGCAACTACTTCTTCTTGTAAGAAAGCTAAATTCAAATCGTGAGATCTCTGAAGCAGGTTTCTGATTTACGAAAATTACTACAAAAAAATCAATTTTGTAGGGTGCGTACTTCAATTCCACTTAAATCTCATAAACATCGACCAAATCAATTGAGCTTCGTCACTCCCATATTTATCTTTAAAATCTGTGATGTGATTTTTGACTATGGCTCACTGCTCACACCTTTGACCGGGGACTCGAAGGATTGAAGACAGTGCGAATAAACTTGAACTTCGTCATACTGAACGCGAAAAGAATCCAGTGATTATGACTAATTGCCTTCTATTACAACTCTATACATTAGTGGTGGTGATCACAAAAATTTGTCGATGCGTTCCCACCGCATACCACCTGAGACACCCACACCACCACAACCTCTATATATATACAAACGCATCCAATGGCTTTAGTTTATAGCCCATGAGATCCCTCACTCCCCTATTCATGGCAAGTGTGACCTTGGCGGGAGTCGTTAACCCGGTGACGATGGCCCTGGGGGAGGTGGTGCCCGATGAAATCATTGCCATGCGCCGGTTCATCGGAGATAACGAGTACCATATCTCCGGTAAGCTCAACGGCATCCCCGCGGTATGGGTGGTTGACCGTCAGCTCCAGTCGTACTGGGAGTCACGTGCCACGGAGGGAGACCCCGTCGCCGTCGACACCATGACCATATAGCAAACGAATAAACGATTATGCTAGACGCCAGTGCGTTCAAATGCTCCCAAAGTCCATTCGTAGGCCCACATGGAGAGGGCCAGTGTCGGTGCTGATTTTATAAGGGCCACGGTGACGCCTTGGTAAAAACTGCGAATGCCCCCGGCGTGCCATAATTTGACGGCCATTTGCCACGCCAGCAGCCTCAGCTGCGACATCTGACACCGCTTTCTAAGAGTGTCTAAAGGGAAGGTAATGGCTTTGGCGGTGGCACCAGCGACAAAGCCACACACGCCTTCGATAAACGGGAAGTCGGCGTAGCGTTTGGACACGTGGCGCGCCTGGTTATAGGTGGCAAACATCAAGCCGGTGTTTAGTGCCACGGCGAGCATCGTCGGGTTTATCCCTTTAAACAAATCCCGGGGAGAACCGATCGTCTTTAACACCGATCGCATCGATAATAGCTCCCGCGACGTCAGCGCCGCCAACCGCGTCCGTAAAAGGTCAAACGGGTAGGTGATAAGCGTCAGCGTGGCGCCGGCGCCAAACCCCGTCACTAGACTGTGAAGGCCAAGACTGGCGACGGGTTTAAGCGCGTGGGGGTACTTGTCTTCCAACCGGGCGAGCGCCTGGTTGAGCGCCTGATACAGCGCAAACTGGGTGGCGCCGTAAAACACGTACATGATTTCGGCGGGGACGTTGCCCTTCCAGAGCGCCCGGACGCCCTCGTGGCGCACGGTGGCGGCGACGATGGCGCCAAAGCGCCCTTGCCCTGGCGGCGCTAATTGCATCCTGATCTTAATTGTATCCAACGGGGCGGTGAACATCCGCGCCACCGCGCCCAGGATGGCGCCGGCGACGGCCAGGCGCACCGGCAGCACCGTGTTGCCGCGGGAGAGGTGGTCGTTGCCCATGGCGAGGTGGGGGTCGGGGAGGAGATTCTCGGGAGTTTACTGGCGCCGCCGCATCGCGCCCGGCGCGGGGCGCGCGCGACCTTAAACGAAAAATTGGGGGTGGCTAGCGAGGAGGGGAAGCCCCACCGGAATCTCAAACGCCACCACGAAAATATCAATTATCAAACACAAACAGACTTGAAACAAAATAAACGTGAAACAAAACAATTGGAGTTGATATTCAATTCATAGCATCAACAATCACAACAAATAATCAATGGTTGAATCATCACATTAATGATTTTGGCTCATCACAGGTCTGTTAGTACTAGTCGCACGATAAGCATCTGGTTGATATACACTCCAAGCCTAACTACCAAAGACTCCATACCACAGCCATCAGACGAAACCTTTCCATAACTGATTGGCGTTATTTATCCTTTTGCATTCCCTATATTCCATTTCCCATTGCATTTTACCCATTTTCCAGACCCTCATCCTTTCCTCAGTCATTTAATCAATCATGGTGGAGTGCTGTATATGTCTGGAGTTAGGCAAGTACAAGTGTCCGGCGTGTGAGCGGACGACGTGTCTGGTGACCTGTGTCAAACAACATAAGCAGCAGTTTAGCTGTTCCGGCCAGCTCGACCCTACCAGGTTCATCGAGCGCGATGACCTCAGCTCATCGCCGATCCATTTGCGACGAGACGCTTCGTTTTTGACCAATTTCAAACGGCACGTCGATGTTTCCAAAGAAGATGTGCGGACCCAGGCTCGTCTGGTGTTCAAACGCGTTGGTGGCCATCACCAGCAGCAACAACAGTTCCAACAAAATAAGCGCCTCCAGCTTGATCCGAGAGTGGCTAAGTTGAAAAAGGTATTCCCTGAGGCGATGGTGCTGACGAAACGCCAGAATACGATGGTGGTGGCCCTCCCTCCAGGGATGGCTCGGTCGGGAGCCAATAAGCTGGGCTACGATAAAAAACAGGGCCAATACGTGTGGACGATCGAATGGGTGCTTTATGACGCTAACAAAACAGTGAAGCATAGGTTTAATAGTAACCGCCTCCGGGAACTGTTTACTTGGAAACAGGCGTTGCCGCCGACAGTGGTGGCACGGGAGTTTCCGGAGTTGACCACCCCACATTTCTACCTCGCTCTGATTGTTGGTAGTGGAGCAGTGGCCTTGGATGAGGACATGACGATTGCTGATCTGCTAAAGGATCAAATGGTTTTGGAATTCCCCACAATATTAGTGGCTCAGTCGCCTGATGACTTGCCTGCGGATGTTGCCCCGCGTGACGGAAGTGACGGAAGTGACGACAGCAGTTCCGACAGCAGTTCCGACAGTGACTCTGACAGCAGTGATTCCGACAGCGACGATTCCGACGACTCCGACGATGCTCCTCCAGAAGAAGCCCTGAGCGCTAAACCACCAACACTACTGACTAATGAACTTGACGTCGATATGGACGACGATCTCGACGATATCCCTACCGCCGACGACGTCCCCGCTACCCCTGCTGCCTCAGTGCTTCCGGCATCGGTGCCGAGCCCTCCGTCGGCATGAACCTTACCTTCCTCTCGCTATATATACTTATGCATGGTGACGTCGCCGTTCCTCTGTACAAGCCGTCCCCCCCCCCCTTTCCCCCCCCCCCCCCCCCCNTACCATACGACCCAACACTATATACACCCAGCATCAATTGACGGTGAAACCACAAGTGAAACAAAAACCAAAAAAGACATCATCCCTTCCTCTTTATTCTTTCCATCGGGTTCCTCGATATTCTCCAAATCTTTGTGCTTCGCTCACATTGCCCTCCGCTGCGCTCATCGGGGCGCGCCTGCAGGAGCACCTTTTTTTTTCACCTAGAGGCAACTGTAATCCAGTCGAGAACTCCTTAACCATGTCGATTTCAGCATCCAAGGCGAAGAGAGAGCAAAAGCGTTTGGAAAGAGAGGCCAAGAAGGCCGCCGAGGGCAAGACCACGCGCAAGACCAAGAAGCAGGAGGCCAAGGACGCTGAGGAAAAGACCGAGGACGACGCCGCCACCAAGATCGCCAAGCTCAAATTGCAGGCCGACGACGAGGGTATTTCCGACAGAGTCGTCACCGGGGTCTTGGAATCGTTGGAGACGTCGCGAGACATCAAGTTGCTGTCGGTGTCGCTTTTGTTCCACGGGAAGGTGCTTCTTACCGATACCACCTTGGAATTGAACTACGGCCGTCGTTACGGGTTGTTGGGGGAAAACGGGTGTGGTAAGTCGACTTTCTTGAAGGCCATCGCCGCCAGAGAGTACCCCATCCCCGAACTGATCGATATCTACTTGCTTAACGAACCCGCCGACCCCACCGAGTACTCGGCGTTGGAGTACGTGGTCAGAGAAGCTCAAGCGGAAATGAAGCGGTTGGAAGACCTTGTCGAAGACATCATCGTCAAGGAAGGCCCCGAAGCCCCGCAATTGGAGGCCCTTTACGAAAAGATCGACGAAATGGACCCGCTGACATTCGAGCTGAGAGCCGCCGTCATCTTGACCGGTTTGGGTTTCAACGCCGTCACCATCAAGAAGAAGACCAAGGACATGTCTGGTGGTTGGAGAATGAGAGTGGCGTTGGCCAAGGCGCTTTTCGTCAAGCCCACCGTGTTGCTTTTGGACGACCCCACCGCCCACTTGGATCTCGCCGCCTGTGTGTGGTTGGAAGAATACCTTAAGCGGTTCGACCGGATCTTGGTGTTGGTGTCGCACTCGCAGGATTTCCTTAACGGGGTGTGTCTGAACATGATCGACATGAGAGAAAAGCAATTGCAATTGTACGGTGGTAACTACGACTCGTACTTGAAGACCAAGCAAGAATTGGACACCAACCAGATGAAGCAGTACCACAAGCAACAAGAAGAAATCGCCCACATCAAGAAGTTCATTGCCTCCGCCGGTACCTACGCCAACTTGGTGAAGCAGGCGAAGCTGAGACAAAAGATCTTGGACAAGATGGAGGCCGACGGTCTCATCCAACCCGTGGTCCCCGACAAGGTGTTCCTGTTCCGCTTCCCCGACGTGGAAAAGCTCCCTCCCCCCGTGTTGGCCTTCGACAACATGTCGTTCTCCTACTCGGGCAACCCCGAAGACAACTTGTACGAAAACTTGGACATCGGTATCGACATGGACCTGAGAGTGGCCCTTGTTGGTCCTAACGGTGTGGGTAAGTCGACTTTGCTTAAGCTTTTCATGGGTAAATTGCGCCCGCAACAAGGGAGAGTGATCCAACACACCCACATCAAGTTGGGGGTCTACTCGCAACACTCGGCCGACCAATTGGACTTGACGATGTCGCCGTTAGAGTTCGTGAGACAGAAGTTCTCCCACGTGTCCCAGGACTACCAGTACTGGAGACAGCAATTGGGGAGATACGGGCTTAGTGGTGAAGGCCAGACCTCGGTGATGGCCACCCTTTCTGAAGGGCAAAGACTGAGAGTGGTGTTTGCTTTGCTCGCCCTTGAGGCGCCCAACTTGATCTTGTTGGACGAACCCACTAACGGTTTGGACCTTGCCACCATCGACTCGTTGGCCGACGCCATCAACGCCTTCAACGGTGGGGTGGTGATCGTGTCGCACGACTTCCGGTTGTTGGACAAGGTGGCCAAGGACATCTTTGTCATCGAGAACAAGACCGCCACCAGATGGGAAGGGTCGATCTTGGACTACAAGAAGAAGTTGGCGGGCGAAGTGGTGTTGTAAATGTACTCATAATGGTCGTAGACGGAAGTTAAACGCTAAGGTTAGTCGGTATGTATGCGAAACGGTCGTATCCTAATAAAGGTTGTTTGATACACACAAGACGTAGAAAATTATCCATAATTACGGTGATGATGATAAGGCAGCTAATGGTACGTTTAGTGGGTCAAGTGGCGCTAAAAGTTCTCAACTTCAAATTCATCATTCAAGAGACTTGGATAAGTTCCTTCTACTTTTCAGACTTGTCTGGAATTCTTGGCTATCTTTCAGTTTTTTATTTCATGAACTTGCACAGTATAGCCGCTGAATCGGTTTCAGATTAACTCATTATGTATGATGGCATAATTTCAAGCACGTTGTAAGCCATTCTACTCATATATTTCTAAAACTCTAATCTGCCATGCATCTCGTCCAGTATAATATTGCCAAAACCAGAATTTTTCTGTTGTATGGTTCGTTCGGCCTTGGAGGAATACCCCGTCGACGATACTTACACACCGGTATAGGTTTACTGGTAGGTGACCGGGGCATGGGTATTCGCCGGTAGGTTCCGGCGGTGGTGCACTCGGGAGGAGTCCGCGTGAGTATTATATAGAAGCATACGTGATAACTCCGGCAACGGAGTTATCTCGGTGCGGGCAGCTTAGGGTGCAACCCTAGGCTGAGCTGAAGTCACCCGCTCGGTGAATGCAGGCCCTGCATTCACCGTACAGACCCAGCACAATACCCTGGCGGGGCGTCGAGAGAGGAACAACTAGTATTGGCTACTTACAAGTATCTGTGTTTGTGTTCTGATCTCGACGTCCCGCCTCTTTTACGTTTAGAGCAATTGGATAGTATCAGCTTCATCCTTAGATAATACAACATTTTCACATCGGGCGTGTAGCTCAGTTGGTAGAGCGTTCGCTTCGCATAGAAGCGGGCTTGCGAAAGGCCTTGGGTTCGATTCCCAACTCGTCCACTTTTTTGGTTCTACCCAAAACCATATTGGAGCCGCCAAAAACTGCCTCACATTTCAGCATCCGTCTTTTCTAGTTTTCAATTTTTGGTTGTAAACTTTTGTTGCATTGATTGAAGGTTACCGGCAGTAGCCCTCCAAGTGTCAGCGACATCATAAAATTCCTCTTGGAAATTCGATAACCATCTCTCGGGTTGATGAATAACCTCCTGCCGCATCACTAAATCAGCTTCCAGTAACAAGGATTTAATTGTTATCATTAATATTATAATCAATTGATATCCCAGAGAAAATGTCATTCCTCGACACCGCTGATTGCATCGTGTCGTCGACAATGAGCAGAGCGATCTGTACTCTGGCGTAATAACTTGTTACACTTGTTGATTCGACTCTCCTCCGAATGCTCCATAGTTTATGTGATAATTGACATCCTCCCCTTCCGCATTTACAAAGACGAATTTGATAAGGCCAGGACAAATGACCCCGTCAAATTTCTCCTGACACGACCGCTTCATCGTTTTAAAATACCACACTTGCGCCGCGATCAAACTCCGCTCCCATTTAGTCCAGGCTTGATCAACTTTTCGCTGAGCTTCGTCATTGGGGCCAGCATCAATTCGATATTCCTCGGTATGATTGCTGGATCGACTTGTTACCAAGCTTATGCACAACGCGGCCGCATTGATCCATGTGGAGACTTGCAGAGAGCAGTTGTGATTCGACGCAGGCCATACGTACGTCAAGCGGCTTCATTTCTGGGCAGTTATATATGTTAATGATAAAATTAAACGGTAAAGCATTTGGAATTGTGCTGGATGAGTTAATGTAAAGATAAAGTATAAATTTCTAATTTTTACAGGTTGTATATACCTAGTATTTCTTAGCCAAATGTATCGCAAGCTTGGTAAGGCAAACACCAATACTATGTACAAAGAAATCATTGTGGAAACTGCTCATCAGATAACCCAAACACAACCGTCATAGTATAGCGTATTGGAAACATCATAGCGGTTAATGATGTCGCTGATTACGCGGCTACGATATGGTCTCAAATCATCGTTTATTTGGTGTATACAAGAGTCATCTACGAGATGGTCTTTTCGGTCAAGAAGATGCCGTACTCGTCCTTCAACGTCTTCATGATGGGGTCGTTGATTTCCGAGGTCATCGGCGCCAACAACCCTCTCTTCGACAAGGTGCCGTTCAAGATCTGTTGAGTGGCCACGGCACAGGGGACACCGACAAGCTTGGCCATCGACGAGTAGCCCTTGGGGTCACCGTAGTCGACCAAAGTAGAGGTTCTCACCTCTTCGGTGCCGTCAGCCCACTCGATGCCGAACTTGTGTTGCAAGCACACCAAGTCGCGTTCGCCTTCTTCGTATTGCATCAATTCCTCAAGGGTGGCGCACAAAGTGTCCAAGGGGTTGCCTCTGGGGGTGGTGGGCTTGTCGGAGAAGAGACCCAACCACTTGAACCCAGCCAAGATTCTGGCGCGGTCCTCGTCGGACTTGAACTTGGTCAACGAGTCGATCTTGGCGACGATGTCCTTTTCGTCAGACAGGGCGGCGCCGACCAATTGAGCGGTGGCGTCCTTCCAGGGGACGGGCTTGTCCCAGATGGCGGCGGGCTCTTCCGAGAGGAAGCCGATGTCGACCAACACCTTGATGAACTCAGGGAAACCCTGGAATCTCAAGGTACCACGAATGACGGTCTCGGCTTCGGGGATGTTGTACAATTGCTTGTAAGTGGTCGAGTCCCGGTTAGGGTAGGCGACAAACGCGAACCCGGGGTAGATGAAGTAGGGCTTGGCGGTGGCCATCAAGTCCTCGGACTTGACGTCGACGATCTCGCCGTCCTTCCAGTACTTGGCGAAGTTTCTCAACGCCAACAACACCCCGCGCAGCGACCACGAGAACTTGTAGCCCAAGGGGTTGTCGGAGGCTTCAGGAGCAGGTAAACCGCCGCAGTACAGCAAGAACAGCTTGATCTTGCCGCCCTCCTTGTGCACTTCCTCGATGGTCTTGACGGCGTACAAGTGGTCGATACCGGGGTCCAACCCGATCTCGTTCATCACGGTGATGCCGGCGTCGTTGATCTGCTGTTCGAGCTCGCGCAATTGCGGGTTGATGTACGAGGTGGTGACGACGTGCTTCTTGTTGGCGATGGCGGCCTTGACGACGTTGACGTGGTAGATGTAGGGGATCAACGAGATCACCAAGTCGAAGTTGGCCACGGCGTCGTTGAGCGCCTTCTCGTCGGTGACGTCCAACGAGATCGCCTTAGCGGCCAGACCGGCCAACTCTTGCGCCTTCAGCAACGTGCGGCACGCCACCGTCACCTCGACGTCGGGGGTCTTGGAAAGAATGTCGACGGTGGGCTTCGCCACGAACCCGGAGCCAAGCAACAATACCTTTTGAACCATGATTTGAAGGAAGTGTGGTAGTGTGAAGGAAAAGAAAGGAAGTGCACCGAAAATTTATTGCGGTGGATACCGGGCACAGGCGTGAGGAACGGCGTGGGGGGTAGTGGCTAGGCGTGGTGTGAGTCATCACGTGTCGCCGTGCGAATCTGGGGTCGACGCCGACACCGGCCGCTCAGACCTATACCGGCCGACGACATTAACAAACCGGAGCTGCTGATAGCAGCAGTCAATATACCGGCAGTGTCTTGGAGTTAATGGTTTGGAAGTATGGTAGCGGTATTTGTCGTCATTTGGCAACCCTAAGTAGGAATGCATAACCACTGGCCGGCGCGATAAGCCGCGATAACAAACGGCGCAGTAATGGTATAAGTTAAAGCAGCAATTGAACACCGTTGAGGCCAATCCAATACCAATTGGATAATCGGCAGCACTCAATTTATCATAAATTATCAAAATATCAAAATTTCAATTTTCCGTACCTCAACTTTTCAATTCACGATTCATAGTTGAGTTGAGTCATCGGCCGCACAAAACGCCCTAGCTTGTATGGGGACAGCTTTGGGGTTTGATGTGCAGGATAATTTTTCACAATTTCCACGCCGACCGCCGACCATGCCTATGTTACACAAAACAGGCTAGAGAGGTCTTGTTTTCGACGATTTCAATGTTGATGATGGCGGTATTGTTTATTTAGTGAGGTGGAACCACCTTGCAGGGTGGTGGTGTGACCACATGTTTCATGTTGACGAAGTGTAGTATATGAGCTGTAATCGCCACCATTTTCTAGAAGATACACTACTAGATGAGTTCCGAAAATCACCACCAAAATCAGGAATCCGACTCCTTGATTACTACTGATGAGCCCAAGGCGGTAACCACTACCAATGAGTCAATGGAGCTGACTCCAATTCCTTCTGTCAAGGGAAATATACCAAAGACTGGTAACCCTGGAAATGATGACCAAACCGAGATCTTTCAATTCCAACACCAAGTACAAGTTCATGAGTCTCGAATCACTGAATTGGAGACCACTCTTACTACTACTACCTTTGAGGTTACCCACTTAAAGGAACGGCTCGCTACTATCACATCAAAGAGGAAATTACGGTCGGCAAAGAAAAATGAGAACGACGATAACCTTGCCGTGATCTCGTTCGCTGGCATGATATTTATGATGATGGTATTTTCGTTTATGGTATCTCAAAACTGGGACATTACCAGAAGAAATAATGACTCCCAATCAACTACCATTATTGAGTGGATCACCACTTTGTTTTGACGAAAATGTTATGAATTTTTGGCTATTAACGTAATATACACTGGTTTACGGCTTGCATCTGCCGGTGAATCTCGGGTACAACGAGCAGTCTCTCACGGTGAACCGGTCGCACAACCACGCGAGGATTCTTTCGGTACCCAACCCGTACCCCCCGTGGGGGCACGACCCGTACTTTCTAAGGTCGAGGAACCAGTAGTACGCTTCAGTGTCCAAGCCTTCACGCTTGAACGCCGCCAACAACTGGTCCAAGTCCCAGGTTCTCATCGAACCACCGGTGATCTCCCCGACGTTGGGCATCAACACGTCCACCGACTCGGTGACGCGAGGGTCGTCCTTACACTTGGGCATGTAGAACGACTTGATCTCGACAGGGAAGCGGGTGAGCAAGATGGGCTCGCCAATGGTATCGGTCATCTTTCTTTCGGCGGCTTCAGCGATATCGTCACCAAACTTAAACTTCTCGCCGTCTTCGTTGGGGATGCCGTGCTCGTTCAACCAGTCCAAGGCGTCAATGTATTCCATGCGCTTGAACGGCATTTGCGGCGCCTTGAAGTTAGGGTTCAATTCCTTGATCAACGGACCGGCGACAGGGTCTTCCAAAGTGTATTGCACCACTTTCGTCAACAACTTTTCCAAGTGGGACAACAAGTCTTCGAACGAGATGAACGCCAACTCGGCTTCGATGTGGGTGTACTCGGAAAGGTGGCGTCTGGTGTGGGACTTTTCCGCCCGGAACGACTCCTGGACACAGTAGACGTCACCCAACGCCGGCAAGCACGTTTCAAGGTATAACTGCGACAGCTGGGTCAAGTACGCTTCCTCGCCGTAGTAGTCCATCTTGAACAACGTCGACCCACCTTCCACTTGCGTTTGCACCATACAAGGGGGGGTGACTTCCGTCAACAGTTCCTCGTAGTAGAACTTTCTCACCGCTCTCAAGAGGGCAGCTCTCACCTTCATCACCGCCGACAACTGGTCGCCTCTTAAAGTGAGGTGGCGCATGTCAAGCAAGTACAGCGGGTCGGCGCCTTCGGCGACTTTGTTGGTGAAAGCGTCGTCGCCCAGGGGAGCCAAAGCCACCACTTCATAGTAGTCAGCCTTCAATTCAACACCACCGGGAGCAGTCTTACCTTCGGGGAGTTTGTTGATGGTCCCCTTGACCATCAAAGTCGATTCAATGGTCAATTCCTGGGACTGCTTAGCTTTGGCTAAGTCACCAGTAAACACCACTTGGAGGAAGCCAGTACCATCTCTGAGGGTAAGGAAGATGAGGCCCTTTTGCACTCTCAACCGGTGGATCCACCCTCTGACGGTGACTCTCTGATCGATGTTTTCCGCGATCTTACCGAGCTTAATCGACTTGGCTTCGGGCAACAGCTTGTCCTCAGTGAATTTGATATCGGGGGCGTCGGTGGCCTTCTTGGCGGCAGGCTCAGGTTGCTTAGCCGCCTTTTCCGCCTTCTTCTTTAAGCCTTCAGCCCCCTTCTTAGCCTTTTTCAACGCCAGCTGAGTGATGTCAACATAGCCTTTTTCCTCTTCAGTTTCCTTATAGGTCAAAATCTTGATGTCGTCACCCTTGGTGAACAACGCGTAGGCAGCGGTGGCAAAGGGCTCGGCCTCGGAACCGGCCTCAGGCACGTCCTTGCCCGCCTTTTCGTGGACGTAAACAGCCGACATGTTGTGTGGTTAGGATATAATTGTTCGAGCGAAAGATTTTTCGCGCGAAGACTGCCCCGGATTCTAGAGAAACACCCGTGCAGCAGAAACTTACTAACGGTCACCACATAGAGGGTTAAGAAATCTATTGAAGAAAGCGAATGATGGTTTTTTTTGATTAATTCTAGTAATTGATGACGACGATATTATCTTGGTAAAGAGGGTTTAACAGATAGACATTCTCACTGTACTTTAATGAGAATGTCAGTAGACCAATATGAAGAAAGTTTGTACTCTTGAGTTTATTTGACCTACATCTTTCTATATTTGTGCTCTTCTAAACCCACTTGACTCTTGTTCATATCTTATCAGAAACAATCAATCCCTTATCAGTCTAAGATACGATATATCATGGCTTGTGAGTCACCATGAACCATAATGTACTAGCCCATTACCTAAAATACTGACTAATGATGTTGTTCTATGGGAGATTTCTTGTTTAACCTAATAATGTATTAATCTAAAACACCTCCTATAACCTTTATCCACCACTTAACGATTGCAACAGTTCTGGACTTTTACCTGTGAGAAATTACGCCAGCCACTGTCCAAGTGTTTGAAAAACTTAGTAGTCATCCCACTCGTCGTCGTTGTTCTTCTTCCCCCCGCTTAATCCCGTCAACTTCAGCGGCTGTTCGGGTTTCTCCATGCCCATCGCCGGGGGCACTTGTTCGTAGCCTTGGCTTTCCGGCAGCCCCTCGACGCTGAGACCGCTGAACAACTTGCCGAAGCGTTCGTCAAAAGTCTTACCCACCCCGTTCGTCTGGACTTCGTGGGTGAACGACGTGAACGTCTCCTGGCCGTACTTACCAGTCTCACTCATCTTCTGGCCAAACTGAGCCATCGCCTTTCTCGCCTCCAGCCCGAGCTCCAGTTCCTGGATCAGCGAAAAACCAGGCTTAATCACCAGCTCGTTCACTTCGCTCACCAGCTTCGCCACCGCCAGAGAGAATAACCCCCACCCACGGGAAAGAGTACCTAAGGGATCCAGTTGGAGGTTTTCCACGGTGAAAGGAGCGAACAGACCCGCCGGCAGCGCCAGCCGCGGCGCGGGAGTGTTACCAAACCCAGCGTATTTCCCCCCCTGAGACGGGGGCAAGTCTTCAGGGCGAGACTCATTTTTCGACCCCAACTCGGCAAAGTAGGCCTCATTCTTAGCCTTTTGCTCAGGGTCAACTTGGCGGCGTTGTTGGATAGGGGCTTGGGCGACACCCGAAGCCAGTTTATCCAGCTTGATCAGCAGGGCGACGTCGTTGGCCGAGGGTAACGATTCTCCCAGATGGTCCTTAGGCTCGTACTCCCGCCCTTCAATCTCACACGTCAACATCTCCTTATAGTCTTCGGCGACGTAGTTATCGTATTTCTGCTTCGCCGGAAGCTTAGGGTCGACGCCGTGCTTGTCAAAGTACTCGTTTAGCCGCGTGTTACCGCCTTTCTCCATGCGGAGAATCTCGTCGGGCTTACACTGGTCCATCGTGATCAGTCTGACAAACGAGATGTGGACGCCGAGCCCCCGGTGGATCCCGGCACAGTCCAAACAGATGAAAATGCCGAATTTCGGCAGCGCCCATTGCGGGTTGTGGGCGCCGCAGTCGGCGCAGTTCTTGTTGCCGTCCTGCTTCTGCAACGTCAAAAGCTTCTTGCGGGATTGCGGGTCAATCGACATTAGCCAGCGTGTATTATGAAAGGTTGCTGGTGGGGCAAAATGGGGATTGTTTGGGTGGGAGAGATGTGGTGGTGGCTCGCGGGACTGAGGTGTCTTTTTTTTCGCTATGGCGATCGCGAATGAAATTTTCTCCTGCACATAAGCGCGAGGCGTAGTCAGTAGATCAATGGGATCAACCCGTGGAGACGTGGCTGGTGATCAACAGAAAATTAACTTGAAAGGTGTTTTTTGTATTTACTAGGAAGTGTGATGATGTGCTAGTGGTACTATCTAATTATGGTTTGAGCGATATTGCAGATTTGTTGGACACTACTGAGCTGGCTTGATTATCATACTGATCGTAGTGTATTTAGTTTGAATTTGTAATCAAATATTGGTTTTATCGACACCAATGGGTGATGTCATGGATTGGTCATCTCTACGGTATCTTAAACGGTACTGATTTTAGTATTGGGGTTGCGATTACCGACGTATTCAACCTATGTGATTTGTCTCGCAAGAAACGGAAATTGTTGAAGTTGCTACGTTAAGGGGTTTCATATCCGTTAAGTACAACATCTTCTTGTTCGGTCTTTACGCTATTCACTAGCGTAACCGTATGCGAGAAGCTGGAGAGATGTATTGGATCATATGGAGCTCACCTACGACCAAAAGCATCGGGTGAAACAAGGGGTGAAACAAGGAAACTTCAGCTTCAATGATTGAGTAACGGATAGCCATAATCTACTCGTTATTCCAGCAAAAATCGAAGCTTTATGATGAGAACTCTACACGGTGGTGGAAATCCTGTATTTTCCAATTATGGTGGAGTTAGACCTAAACTTCCTCAAACAACGTGTCAATCGTAGTCAGAGGCTACCCAAATGACTAATTTTCGATACCGCTAGCCTTTTGGGCAATATATTGACCACGCCTTGTGATGCTGAAGCTTTCTGGCAACTATGATAGGAAATGGATACTGCCTCCACTCTTTTGATCATGAAGATGAGTGTTGAATATTGCCTAAATCCCGTTTGACTGGATTACTCGATTGGAAGCTATTGTTCTTTACTCACTGGTGTGCTATCGGAGGCATAGTTCGTATTGCTCCATAAGTCATCGATGCTTTCTATATAAGGGACGAGTTGAATACACAGGAACATTCGCTGGATCAATGGTACTACGGGAATTAAACACAAGCTGTGATAGACTGACATTGAAAGGGGTTACAGAATCAAGCGAAATCATGATAGTGCTGCTGGTGACGACCCAGAACTGTTAATATTATGGATGAACCACGAGCTGAAGGATGCGGACTAAGGGGTGTCAGTCCACAATTATCCACTAGAGCTAGTCTAGCTTGAATGCTATGGACTGATTTTTATCTCCCGAAGGCAAATATGACTGAGATTAAATCAACACATTTCGGTTCTAGTGTTGTTATGAACAGAGGCTACGACCTAAATCGAGGTAAGCAACCGTGTTTAAGGGACTCACCACCTTTAGCTTTTGCCTGTTGAAGCCAAGCCGAAGGCACAAGCGCTAGTTACCTCGGCATTTCCTCTAGATACTAATATAATCGAATTATGGTCTGGTAAGTGTACTGTATTTCCTACTTAGCTCTCGATAAATACTACTACTTTCGGTCGAACTTCTCATGTATGTCAGTGTTGCTAGGGATCTA